ACCTAAAGACGTTTACAGGTCAACATAAAGACTCTACATCTGGTCAACATAAAGACTCTACATCTGGTCAACATATAGACGTCTACAGGTCAACATAAAGATGTCTACATCTGGTCAACATAAAGACGTCTACATCTGGTCAACATAAAGATGTCTACAGGTCAACATAAAGACGTTCAACATAAAGACGACTACATGTCAACATATATAAGACATGGCAGACTACAGGTCAACATATAGTTTTTAACAGTATAAGTGTCCATACAATGTTGATGTGCTTTTAAAAGGATCCAATCAACTTTCAGTATTACAAAAATGTACCTGCAGACTGGATTCTAAAATTACATAAACTGGTTTTAAAAGTCTGAACAAATAAATTATAATAGAGTAATATTATAATCAATGTAATGTAATAAGGAGTATTTAATTTTCATGTTTAACTGTTTATTTAAGATGCAGAATTCATTTTCAATTTCACATGTAAATATTGATTTGTATATTTTGTTACGTTTATGGATTTTAGACGTTAGTTTTAAGGCATGATTATTTTATTGGATAATTTGTAATGTATATTTATTTATCCTTGAAAAATGAAACTGAGCATTCCAAATTTAGAAAATATCGACACGATTCCAATACAATCACTCTGTGTCCTCGTTTTCCTTACACGAATCTGAGAACACTCTGTTTAAACATTTAGTTATAATGACTTTTTTCTGGATCTCAGTTTTTGTGGTATTTGGAGTCAGAAATTTTCATTGTTGCAATTGACATTATAGAAACAGGGGTGACTGTTGTCAGATCCTTTAAATCTAAGCATGGACTCAGGATCTGTATTTGATTTGAGAGTTTTGTGATGTATAGAGAATTAGAAAATCTCTAAAGAATTACCAAAATACTCTAATTATATTCTTCCCCTTTGTGTCGTTTGTATTTTAATGTTATCTTTAGTTTTCATAAGATATCTGCTATTTGTTTATTAGTATTGTACTAATTTAACCATTTTTATACGGCCGTTTACGGGGCGTATTATGGTATACCGTTGACCGTTTGTCCGTCCGTCCATCTTTTAGAGAACCATTGAATGGAATGAAACCAAACATGGCATGCATGTTCCTTTTGAGGTGCTGACCAAGTGTTGTTACTTTGAAGCTGATCCTTCATCCATGATGGCTGCCAGATGTGGACAATGTTTAACAAAGGACCCTATGGACAATACATACAAATGTCTTCTTTTAGAGAACCACATACTGAATGGATTGAAACCAAACATGGCATGAATGTTCCTTATGAGGTGCTGACTTAAAGTTTTGTTACTTTGAAGCTGATCCTTCATCCATGATGGCCGCTAATGGGGGGACTTCCTTTAACATAAGACCCTATGGGAAATACATACAAATGCTTCTTCTAGAGGTGCACTGAATGGAATGAAACCAAAACATGGCATAAATGTTTCTTATGAGGTGCTGATTAAGTGTTGCTACTTTGTTGCCGATTTACTGTTCAAGATGGCCACCAGGATTTTTTATTAAATTACAGGACCAATATTAAACCAAATTTGGCCTCACTCATTATTAGGGTATCTGTTATGATTTTAATCTATTTTTACATGATTTCCAAAACCAAAGTAGAATCAGGTGAGTGACACAGGCTCTTAAGAGCCTCTAGTTTATAGCTATTGATGTAATCTCCCTATTGATTTTCATAAATTTCAAATATGACATTGAGAAGAAATTGAACTTTATTTGTTTATAGTCTGACAACAGATTTACTAAGTGTTGCGCAACAGCACAGTGTATTGCACAACAGCAAGAAATCTTTAATTGAATATAAATTCAATTCATATAACCAATTTCAAGTTCTTTGACTACATTTATTCAGAAACCTATAATATGTCAAATATTTAATTACAATCCAAATTCAGACCTGTATCAAGCTTGAATATTGTGTCCATTTTTGCCCCAACTGTTCAGGGTTGGAATCTGCGGGCGTATCCAGATGCGCTCAGCGAAGCAGTTTATTCAAGATGTTTCGGCCACTGGCTAAGAAATATTAATAATGGTTTGATTACTACAGTAATGTAAAATGTGTTAGTTCTGTTGGAAATTCTTAACAAGAATTGAATTTATAAGTTAAAAGAGGGGCAGTAGGAGGGGGTGTGATCCCAAATTCTCGAAAAAATAAAGCCTTCTTTCCCATATCCTGAAAATTTAATCATTAATTCCCAAGTCTTGATGAGTGTAAATCTCGAATTCCCTTGAAAATAACGACCCAATCCCAGATTCCTGCCAATAAAGGGTCCAATTTGGGGTCAAGAAAATAATCCCTTCGCCCCACCCCTCATAAAAGAGTTAATTGATAGGTATAAATTGTTATTTAAACCTGGACTGTTTTGTATATACAAATATTTAGGTTAAGAGATGTAGCATCATATCTATGGGCAAACTTCTATATTAAACAGGTGAATTTTAAGTGAAGCTGAACTTACATACAAAGGTCAATAGTCAAAATTAAAATAGCATAAAAAAGTTCCAAAGAATTGAATAACTTCCTTCAGTATTATACTTCAACATACATTATATATATTTAAAGGTTCAAATTTTATTGTATGAAAATATTGAATTTTATGGAAGCATCTTGCAATATAGCATTGAGTTCCAAATAAAGAGGTTGGATATGGAATCATACAGTTACTTTGAAAATTGAAAAGAAATGTGTAAAAAGCTTGTCAATATTTTGTAAGAATGACAGGTGATATAAGTATATGTTTGGACTAGTGTCACCTGTGTCAAAACCATAACTAAGTTATATGACCCAGTGTAATGTAACACATTGTGTATCAAAACTCACCTCATTATATTAGTATGTAAACTATGTAAGTTGATGGGTTATTTATACCTAGGAGAAAATATAGTATTTTATATACTGCTACAATGTACTTTATTCAGGGGACAATTTGACTGCAGTTTAAACATGTGATACAAGATTTATTTTATATGTGAAAATCATTAAAAGGAAACTTAATTAAATGTACAGTGGAGGGGTTAATACCTCATCAGGAGAAAAATATAGTATTTTCTTTATTGTTAGTAAAATATAGGACTGACTATTGAATCTTAGTAAGTTTGAATATAGCAGTTGTATTTTATATGTGAACTTTATAAGAATATGAACTGTGCAAGTGGATGCATTATACCATAGAAGTGTTATATTGACATTATATTAGGAGAAACAAAAATCATATTTCTGTACTTTGTTTACAGTGAATTCAGGGCATTCTGAACTTGTACTTTATATCAACTAGGAATCCGGAAATTTTAACTTGTAAGTTGTTTGGACTGGATTTTTTTCATTACAAAATCTAAAATTATGTCTTATTTGATTTCAAATACCTGAGAAATACATCTTTTGTATGTAACAGCCTGGAAGTTGATATTACAGTATTTATTATATAGGAGTGAAGGTTGTAAATATTTGAAGACTGTGGTCATCTGTGGTGTGGCAAGGATTTATAGCTAGATCTGTTGTTTTATATGTAAACAATATTTTAAAAGTATGATCAATTTTATATTTACCTTTAAGTAAGAATTAGAGCTATCAAGTATCACTGGGATCGAGTCATTTTCTATTAGGAGTGAAATCACTTGATATTTTAATTGAATTGAATATATAAGTCTTAAAGAAAGAAATATATAGGTAAATTTTGTTGTTTTCACTAAGGCATAATGTAAGCCACTCATTTTTTTTTTTTTTTTTGGGGGGGGGGGGGGGATGGGGGAGCATGGTTCTTAACATTTTTTGTCAACTTTTAACCATAAACTATATTTTTTAAAAACATATTAAAGGAACAAGATTTTTACTAGTTTTGAATAGAATTTTTTTCACTTCCTTTCTGAAACATTAATTTCAAGAAATATAGGATCAATTTATGGAAATAAAATATGTCCTAGAGTCACCTTTTAGAAAAGAATATTTTGGAGTTGGATAATTATTTAAAGAAATTGCAGAATGTATAGTTGAATGATTTTTTTTTTTGTTCTTCAGGTGGAAACATGACAAAATTTTCTAGCTTCTTAATAATAGATGAAAAACGTTGCTACATGGATAGCTACTTAAGGAAAATTTATTTAAATGTCTGCACATATATTGTGTTTCTTGCATGTTTGTAGGGTTATACATTTATTGAATGTAACATTGTCAATTTTGAAGAAGGAATCAAATGCATTCGTATAGAAATAAGTTAACAACAATAGATATTTGCATTAAGTTGTAATATAGAATTCTTATTGAAATATTTATACATTTACAGGGTAATTTAAGAACAAATTACTGTGAACTATCATTATATGATTTAAAAGGTCACACTGTTATGAATAAATCCTGATTTAGATTAATTTATTGACACAGTAACATGGAAAAGTTGTCAGTTGTAAAATTGTGTCTAAGATTTAAGCAGTGTTTTCTAGTTTTTCAGTGATTTAAGCAGGAATTATATGCGACTGTCATACAAGTGAGAGGTTTAGCTAGCTACAAAACCAGGTTTAATCCATCATTTTCTACATAAGAAAATGCCTGTACCAAGTCAGGAATATGACAGTTGTTTTCCATTCGTTTGATGTGTTTGAGCTTTTGATTTTGCCATTTGATAAAGGACTTTCCGTTTTGAATTTTCCTTGGAGTTCAATACTTCTGTTATTTTACTTTTTTCCATAAATGTTTAAGTAATAATACATAAGGATTTAAAGAATCACCAAAAATATTGAACAATACAACAGTCTCCATTAACCACAAAAAAACAACAGTTAGCTAATTTTGAAAAGAATTAAGACAGGTTTTGATGATTAGTTCAGTTTTTATCCCTAACTTAGGATAAAAAAGAAGATGACCAAAACAGTAAAGCAGAAGACCATTAAGGCTGGCTACCATCTTCCCAGAAAAAGTAGTGCCGAAGATAAACTTTTGATTTAACCTATATCTTTACTATTTTATTCTTGTTTCAGGACCATACCTTGATTGGCAGACATGATGCTCCAAAACAACAAGATATACAACTCAGTGGTCTGGGAATTATGCCTGAACATTGTATGGTGGATGTAGAAAATAATGATGTATATGTTTCCCCACTAGAGGGCGCTAGGTAAGTCACATGACAGTAGTGGGCTTATAATTATGCCTGAACATTGTATGGTTGATGTAGAAAACAATGATGTATATGTTTCCCCACTAGAGGGCGCTAGGTAAGTCACATGACAGTAGTGGGCTTAAAATTATGCCTGAACATTGTATGGTTGATGTAGAAAACAATGATGTATATGTTTCCCCACTAGAGGGCGCTAGGTAAGTCACATGACAGTAGTGGTCTGGGAATTATGCCTGAACATTGTATGGTTGATGTAGAAAATAATGATGTATATGTTTCCCCACTAGAGGGTGCTAGGTAAGTCACATGACAGTAGTGGGCTTAAAATTATGCCTGAACATTGTATGGTTGATGTAGAAAATAATGATTATATGTTTCCCCACTAGAGGGCGCAAGCAAGGTAAGTCACACAAGAGGAGTGATTTCGGAATTTATGCCTGAAGGTATGGAACCCAAAATGATTCAGGCCCTCCTTGTGATAGATCTCTCCCATTCATGAGGGCCTGATTTTTTTCATTCAATTACAATGATTCACAAATTGTTAATTTAGCCATTATAGAGCAGAAAAATATTTTTCGGATTAGAAAGTATGTGGCTTATTTAGAAATTTTATAACTGAAATCTATATGACCCAGTATATGGTCACCATTTTAGGGTACAAAGAGTGCTCACTAGAGTTTATTATGATACAACTTTGACATCATTATTAATGTTGTTTCTGTGATGTCAACTTGATATTTTTCATACATCTGAATCATCTAGTTTCAGTTTATGTGTCTTGCTTTCAAGATACAGTTTGTTGTAAATTCTCATATTGTGTAAGAGTTACACATGAATAAAATCCTATGATCTGACTAGATAGAAAACTAAATGATTGAAGTTTGAAATGAAAAATGAGAAGATTTGACTCAATTAAATATGTTTTCTCTACAGAAAACAGAAACAAACAAAAGGATTTCAAATGTCATTTTGTTATAGTCTTTTTTCATTATCAATACCATCTGGGACCAATATATGATTATTTATTCCGCAATCAACTTTTCTGCTATACAAATACAGGTGTACAGATAACACAAAGTGATACACGTATGTACTAGACATTTATAGTCTTCTGGATATCCTGCTTCTGTTGCGAGCTGTATAGTTATGTTCAAAGTACTGATTACATCACAGTTTAATTTGGTCCTCATTGCAGTCTGTGTTAAATATTGATTTCATTCAAAAACAAAGTTCAACAATTAGAATTCAAAAAAGCTATATTTTTAAGCTAAATGATAAATTGCAGGATAAAAACAATATTGGAACAGTGTAGGAAAATATCAAATTTATTTGTACTCCCTAAGAAAGTCATGAGAAAAGCTTGTCCAGCGAACCTTGCATTTTTCTCTGTTTCTAAAGCTTGTCAAGTAAATTTTATATTTTCCTACACTGTATGGATATTTTCTATGTTCATAGTCTCAAAAACCAATCAAATATGTACAAATACAACTTCTTGTAGAAAAGTATTACTTTAACATGGATATCACTTTGTCATATACCATTTTTATATAACTGACTTTTGATGCTGGAGTTTATAATTTTTGACTGGTTACCTACTGTTTTGGTACTTGGTCATGAAAGAGCAACTAAAAGAAGTAAAATCAAGCTTACAAACGGAGCAATATGGGGAAAAAATTAACAGTTATATATTTTCTATATACAACAAAATCCTCAGAACAGTAATTGTCACCCCAAAAATTGTATTAGCTTGGTTTTACTTTTTTAGTTGCTCTTTAGTACCAGAATGTCTGAACACAGAGTTGCCAATCTAATGAAAATTTATATACCCCGGTACTACGGAGTAAAAAGTTGATAAAATGAGAAAAATCTATTGTTTGAGAGAAATGGTAATGATGTAATCTTACAGCTGTATTACTACCTAACATGTGAGGCTATAAACATCAAACTGATATTGTGTTTACATGTCAAAATTATTCACAAAGGGACAAAATGTATAAATCTTACACAGTTGCATAATTTTTTTCCAAAACAGCACTTTTAACTTCTTTGTTTATATTTTTTAAATATAAAAGCAGTCCATTTTAATTAATATCGTACTATACAGATGTGTCTTTTCTACCAAGAACTAATTGATAATTGAAATATATGTGTCTTCTAATGTCGGGGCAGAAAGCTTTTTGTTGGTGATTGCATAACAGCTAAATTTTAATTTAATTCTATTGTAGTACTACAATTTTACATATAAAGATAACATTGTATGTTTTAGAACTTGTGTTAATGGATCTCTGATTGGGGAGAAGACAAGAGTCAGACATGGAGACAGGATTTTATGGGGGATCAATCATTTTTTCAGAATTAATTGTCCAAAATTAAACAGTAAGTTTTTTATTATCAATTATTATCAATATTGTTGTGTAATGATGAAGCCTTTGTTTATGTTTGTCTGTCCTTTCCGGCATAAATCTTTATGGTGAATGTCTGTCCTTTCTGGCTTAAATCTTTATGGCGAATGTCTGTCCTTTCTGGCTTAAATCTTTATGGCGAATGTCTGTCCTTTCTGGCTTAAATCTTTATGGCAAAACTTAATACTGTAGATTCATTTTTTTTTCATGTGTACCAATTTTCGTGGATTGAGGAAAACTTGTATGTTTGAGGATATTTGATAGAGTGGTTTTGCTAAAATCTGCATATAAAACTATAGAAATTTTGTACTAAATTAAACTTTATAACCTACTTAACCCATGAAATTGGTATCCCACGAGTAATAATGAATCCACAGTATGTACTATGGAGTGTTCTCACAGTTTGTCAATTCTTTCCTGACGTAATCAAGAACTGTTTGAAAAAAATATTAGCTGTTCAAACAAAAATGCACAGGTGGAACTCTGGTCAATCTAAAGAAAAATCACCTGGAGTAAGCTGTTTCTATTATTTTCCCTCACTTTATTTTGCATTCAGCTTGTTGGTCCATCCTTTTTGTCTGTCTGTTCGTCCAATAAATATTTTCATCACACTTTTCTCTTACACATATTGGATCAGCAGCTAGACAGTGAGGAGTTGTAACTTGTGAACACTTTTGGATCTGTCAGAGGCATACTTCATCTTTTCAGATACTTTGAATTACATAGGGGTAATGTTTAGCATAACAAAACTTGCAGTCCCGTTGATTTTAGTACTTAATACTGTAAATTCAGAAATGATTGTGAGGTTTTTATGAATGCCAATAGTGCGACTGGGTGATTATCGCAATAATAAGAACTCACATTCTGATATTTGATGCATATATCTGTATGCAGTTTTCCTGAGATCACAATAATTAATATCGCATTTTGTCCATTCTTCAAAAATCGCAATAATAAATGCATGCAGTAATTTCTGAATTTACTGTATAAATAGAAGTGAATTGAATTGACCATGGTTTATCTACCTGTATATCTGTTTATCTAATTATTTATTTTGATGGAATTATTTAACTACTGCTTTAGAAAAGGTAAAATTGTAATGTATATAAATACTTGACAAAATTAGTCTAAAACTTAACAGATGCAAATATCCCTTTTATTTCAGCTCTGCTAACGCATTGGCTCTAAAAATTAGTTTGCAACAGTAAAATCAATGATTGACATTGCAGAGTTCTCAACATCTTTTTTTCCCTGGTCCTTGAGCAAAATCTGCTGGTCCTCACTATTATTTCTATTGCTAAATACCAAATTTGTGTTGGTCCTTTGCAAAATTTTGGTGATCAAAACCTTCAGACCGCCACTTTTCGAGAACTCCGACTTTGCAAAGTATAATTTAAATAATCCCAATTGTTTCTTAAATCTACAAAAATTAAAACTTGGTGTTTCAAATATTTTATACCTCTTGTCAGACTCAGTTCTTCTGCTCTTCAGGAAAGCTCATCATGATTGTTGTATTTTTGTCGAGCCTGCGACTTTTGTCACAGAAAGCTCGACATAGGGATAGTGATCGGGCGGCGTTAGCTAACTTCTTAAAAGCTTTATATTTTAGAAGGTGGAAGATCTGGATGCTTCACACTTTGTATATATCCGATGCCTCATGTTAAGAAGTTTCCGTCAGTCACATGCCCAAAGTCCTTGACCTCATTTTCATGGTTCAGTGACTACTTGAAAAAAAAGTTGAGATTTTTTGTAATGTTAAATTCTCTCTTATTATAAGTAATAGGATAACTATATTTGGTATGTGCGTACCTTGCGAGGTCCTCATGCCCGTCAGACAGTTTTCACTTGACCTCGACCTCATTTCATGGATCAGTGAACAAGGTTAAGTTTTCGTGGTCAAGTCCATATCTCAGATACTCTTAAGCAATAGGTCTAGTATATTCGGTGTATGGAAGGACTGTAAGGTGAACATGTCCAACTGGCAGGTGTCATCTGACCTTGACTTCATTTTCATGGTTCAGTGGTTATAGTTAAGTTGTTGTGTTTTGGTCTGTTTTTCTTATACTGTATGCAATAGGTCTACTTTATTTGGTGTATGGAATGATTGTAAGGTGTACATGTCTAGCTGGCAGGTGTCATCTGACCTTGACCTCATTTTCATGGTTCAGTGGTCAAAGTTAAGTTTTGAGTTTTGGTCTTTTTTTCTAATACTATATGCAATTAGTTCAACTATACTTGATGTATGGAAATATTTTATGATCTATATGTCAGTCATGCAGGTTTTATTTGACATTGACCTCATTTTCATGGTTCATTGGTCAATGTTTAGATTACTTGGTTAATGTTAAGTTTATGTGACAGTTGTAATAAAGCTTTAAATTTAGGACTATCAACATAATATCAATGATTAGTAAAGAAGGCGAGACATTTCAGCATGTGCACTCTTGTATTGTAATATTGTCCCTAATTCACATGAAATATCTGCCACCGGACATTAAGCAAACAGACAATCAATAAACCGTTCATTTAGATAATCAACAATGTCAAGGTAATGTATCAGATTACTGGTGATAAAAAGTAGGAAATGGCATGACGGAAATAATCGTCTCTTGAGTATTAAAATTTAAATATTTCATTCTAAAAAATTAGGAACATTATATAGGCTGCCTTTTAGACTGCTGGTAAAGAAATTATTCATAGATTTAGCCTTAATTAAATCCCAGGACGATAAAAAAAAAAACTGATAAGAAGACAACTTAGTATATTAACGCTGACAACAACACAATAGAACTTATGTTAACGATTTTTTTTGCAATATTTCTTAGACTGAAGGATTTGAACTCTTTAAGAAATACTTGATTATGAAATATACTACTGACATTTTGTGAATATTTCATCCCATTAGTGGTTTATTGTACAGGAAATTTAATTATTGTATATAAATGAAGTAAATACATTGACGACTGGTAAAGTGGAAGGGGAAATGTAAATTGTATTATAGGAAATGTCTTATTTATTATCTTATTTATAATAGATTGAATTTCAAAAAATGTCGTGGACATAATTCTTTGACATTAAGAAATATGAATAAAATGAGATGTGGGGTATACATCAATGAAACAGCAACAACAGATATCTAAAAGGCAGCATACAGTCTTCAACTATATTCATGTGTCTACACAAAATGTCAAGCTCTAAAAATATTGTAAATAAACAAACAGAAACTTTCAAAGATCTGCTATTACCACCAAATTCACCAAATAAAAGACATATTAAGATTTGACATAAGGTAATCACTGATTAGGTTTCTTTTAGCTCACCTGGCCCAAAGGATCTTTTTAACATTTCTCATCACCTGTTGTTTGTACATTAACTTTTACAAAAATCTTCTCCTCTGAAACTATTTGGCCAATTTGGAACCGAACTTTTCTACAATCATGCTTGGGTATCTAGTTTATAAAATATATCCATTTGATCAGAATTGATCCTGTCTTTCAAACAAAATTCAACAATCAGTACATTTATGACTTAATGTGAATTGCTCATTAGGCAAACAAAATTTAGAATGATTTGCCTAATTTAGTTTATGCAAGGATTTTTTTAAGGTAGATGGTCCCATGTTATTTGTTTTTACATATCTGCTTTTTAAATTGTAAATACATTGTTTTGCCTGTAAACAAATTTCTGAATAACGGAAACAGTTATAGGATAATTTTAGTATACATGACAAGTGGTAGAAAACATGCATTGAATCTTTTCAAATATTAAACATTATTTAGTTATTGATATTTCATGCTTACAAAGATATGTTTTATCTATCCTATATGAATAATAATTGATACATGTATATACAATGTGATGCTTGTTATCTAATACATGAATAATTAATCAGTAATTAATTATAACAGGTCCGCAGAGTGCAACTGAACCTGAACAACAGATAGATTACAGTTTTGCTCAACAAGAATTAATGGATAAACAGTTCAGTAATGATCCTATTCAAGAGGCTATAGAGGGAATTGTTAAACAACATCAAGAAGACAAGGAAGGTATGTACTTTGTTTGGCGGAAAAGGGGTGGGGGTTGTAAAAAGGAGAATGGTCTTTCAGACAGGTCAGTAATGATCCTATTCAAGTCTATAGAGTACATTGTTTGATAATACCAAGAAGACAAGGAAGATAGGTACATTATTTGGGGGAAAAGGGGTGTTGGGGGGGGGGGGGGTTAAGAAGAGAAGGGTCTTTTAGTCAGGTCATTAATGATCCCATACAAGAGGCTATAGAGGGCATTGTTAAACTTCATCAAGAAGACAAGGAAGGTAGGTACTTTGTTTGGCAGAAAAGGGGGGGGGGGGGTTGTAAAGATGAGAAGTGTCTTTCAGACAGGTCAGTAATGATCCTATACAAGAGGCTATAGAAGGCATTGTTTAACAATACCAAGAAGACAAGGAAGATAGGTACTTTGTTTGGCAGAAAAGGGTGGGGGGGGGGGGGGGGGTTGTAAAGATGAGAAGGGTCTTTCAGACAGGTAAGATGTGGTGATAAAGGGCATTGCTAAAGAACACCAGTAGGAAAAGAAGGGAGGAAGATTATTGGGGGCTGAGTGTAGGATAGAAGAGTCTTTCAAAACATTAGGAAAACAAGAAATGTAAGTAGATTATTTGGGGAGGAATGTAGAGCAGAAGGGTCTTTCAGAGTAATCGGTTACAATTCTTTAAAAGAGGAGATAGAGAGAGCATATGTAAGACAATACCAGGAAGTTAAAGATTAGATAGGTACATTGTTTGAGGAGGAGTGTAGAGCAGAATGATCTTTCATACAGGTCAGTAATGATCAAAAAAGGAGGATAGAGGGCAATATAAAACAAAACCAAGAATGAATAGATAATTACTTATTATTTAGGGAGTTTTAAAAATAGGATGTATGTAAGAAAATCATTATATTGTGAAATATAATTACTTCAGACATCAATATTCTATAATCTGTATCTGGAAACATATTTCTAGTTTCCAAACTGGTAATGATTTGTGTCCTTGAAACACCACTAACAAACACTCCTGAACATTTTTACCTTTAAGCAACGCAATTTATAAATAACTGACATGGCCTTGGTTTATGATACAAACATAATTGTGGTTATCATTGTTGTATGGTATGTTTTAAATGTAATTCTATCCATTTGATTGAAACCAGAGTTATGAGGCTCTGACTTTAGCAGTCAATCTCCCCCTGGCTACAGTTATGCTGTGACTTTATTGTGACTGGAGTTTGTTCTGCACTCAAAAGAATTAATCTTTTAACAGTGTTTTCTGATATAAAATGTCTTTAATTCACTAATTGAATGGAAATTAAAGAATTATTCTTTTTACTTTGATTTCTGATATAAAATGTGTATTTCTCTTAATTGTGATGTAGAACTTTGATGGAATAACATCCTTTTTTCTGTATTTTACAGAGGCATTAGAACAACAAAGAAAACAGTACGAAAGACAAATGCAGTTGCTAAGGAACCAGATCATGTCACCTGGTACCCCATCCATGCCTATTCTACCATTCAGTATGAACTTTACATCACCAACAGGTTCAACTAATAGTGGGATACAGAAACGTTATCAGAAATGGGCAGAAGAAAGGCAAGTTACCATCAATATCACAGGATACCAATTTCTATAAATCAAGGATTTTATTCTAAATTGAAAATAAAAAGAGGATTTATGTAGACTTTAAAAAAAGATTGATTGATTGATTGATTGGTTGTTGCTTAAAGTAACAAAAAATGATAAACATTAATGTCTTGAGCTGATTTGAAGAAAATAAAATTGCAGACCTAACTTTACCAAGAAAAAAGTATCAAAAAGGAGAAAATATTGTAGATATCTTTAAACTTTGAAAGTTTTTTCTTATTAAAGATGTTTCCGTTGAAATTGCTATTTAAGTTGAAAGCATATTATAGCTGTGATTTGTGATTGAAATTGACTTAGCCTCAAATTTATGTTGTAACAGTGAAAGGTATTCATTACAGATTCCAATCAGATCTCTGTTACAGATACCTCTCAAAATCATTTTCATGCTGTACTTTTGTGATTATGATGTAATAATAAGAAATTAATCAATTCAGAGCACTTTTCAGAATTAACAGTAATTTGGAATAGTTATTGAAGAACTATCTTCAAATTAACAAATTTTCACTTTGGTTTTCAACTTAAATCTCTTGTTTTGAATTTCATATATATATATATATTACTTGTAAATATTTTTCTTTTAAGGTTTTCATTTTAACATTCTGTTTTGACAGAGAGAAGACATTTAAACAAAGTCTAGTAAAGTTAAGAGAGGAAGTAGCAAAGGCCAACGCCTTGGTACAGGAAGCTAATGTGTTAGCTCAGGAAATGGGAAAACGAACGGAATTCCATGTCACTCTCCAGATACCAGCATGTAACCTTAGTCCTAACAGACGGGTAAGTTTATTATACCTTAGTCCTAACAGACTGTTAAGTTTATGTTACCGTAGTCCTAACAGACAGATAAGTTGGTGTAACCTTAGTCCTAACAGACTGGTGAGTTTATGTTACCTTAGTCTTAACAGACGGAAAAGTTTATGTTACCTTAGTCCTAACAGACTGGTAAGTTTATGTTACCTTAGTCCTAACAGACAGATAAGTTTGTGTAACCTTAGTCGTAACAGATGGGTGAGTTTATGTTACCTTAGTCCTAACAGACAGATGAGTTTATGTTACCTTAGTCCTAACATACAGGTGAGTTTATGTTACCTTAGTCCTATTAGACAGGTAAGTTTACTGTTGTCAATTTTTTTAGGCTTTGGAGAAATTTCAGGATATTCATGCAGAAATTTGTAAGAGAGGGTTCAAGGTGTTTCACATAGAAAAAATTAACTTATCATAGATACTAGGATTAAAATTGTGTATGCCATACGTTTGTTTCATCTATAAACGGTTTCCTTATATCTTTTTTTTTTACCTAATTGATAAAGATTTAACAAAACAAATGTTTTCAGGAAAAAGTTAGAAAGGAGAAGACACTCTATTGAGAATTTTAGGTCATTTTAAATAACTATAGTCTATACAACTTAGACTTTTGGGCATTGAAGGATAATTGCAACCTTTATATTAAAAAAAAATAATAATTTTTACCCATTACCACAGAGTAATATTTTGAAGCATTTTGTGTCAATTGGAAAAGTTTGAAAATAACTTGAGTCAAAATTTTCAAGCTTACATATATGATTCTCTTACATTTCAGAAAGGAACATTTGTGAGTGAACCAGCCATCTTGGTTAAGAGGAAGAACCGTACCAATCAGATCTGGTCCATGGAGAAGTTTGAGAACAAGTTGATAGATATGAGGGATATGTACGAGGAGAGGAAGTCACAGGGGCTCCCTATGATGGTACTGGAAGATATTGATGACGAGTCGGGGGTTTGTTTGCTTTGCATGATGATTTAGTTTGCATTTTATTATGTTACTCGGTTAAATGTTCTTATAGATCAGTTCGTCTTCAATGATTTGTTTAAAATTTTTTAAACAGAAAGGACATTTGTATAAATACTATGTGGAAAGCAGACCTATTTGTTATTTGTTATTTTGTGTTGTTTAGTTGCTGTCACTTTGATGAATACCCCACATTTCCTTATTTTATTTTTGCAAGTTTTCTTCCATTTTTGATATGAAAATAAGAAGATGTGATATGATTGTAAATGAGAAACTTTCCATTTAAGACTAAATGACGTAGATGTTAGCAACAGAGGTCAGTGTATTGCCTTCAACAATGAGCAAATCCTATATAGATTAGCTAGCTATAAAAGGCCCCACCCTGATACAATGTATTTTTTAGTCATATGAAATATCTACATGGTGTCCTGATCTTGGTAATGAAAAATGTGGAGTTTTTTATGTGAAGCTGTGTACAGTTGTATGCTACATATTATGGTATTGTCCTACTGTAAAGCTTTTAATGTTGTTAGGTTCTTTTTCTCATCACATACACCTGTCAGAGCAGTGAATTTGATTAATTTTTTGATTTCAGATGTGTCATTGTTTTTGCTACTTAAATATGACATTATTAAGTTAATCAGTTAAGTTTTACTTATTTATACATTTGCATGAATGTAAAATATTTTTCAATTATTTTATACGCAATTCTCACTTAACCCCCAAGATGAATTTTACCATTTTTAAAAATGTTTGCCTATTATCTCGAAAACTATAATAGATGGACAGAAACTTTAAATGAAAAAAATAATCAGCAAGAGAAGATCTACAAATAAGTCAACATGACTGTAATTGTTAGTCGACTCTTTATTGAAGTTATTGCCCTTTAATAACGATTTTCTTATTGTTGCCTAATATCTTGAAAACTGTAATATAGTAAGGAACTTTAATTAGCACAAATGATCAACAAGACAAGATCCATAAATAAGCCAAAATCTTCAGTGGAATTGTTATTGGAGTTATTTCCCTTTAATGATGATTTTTTTTCTTCTTCAAAAAAGTGGAAATTGTTAAAGATGCAGGTGAGTAACACAGACTCTTTAGAGCCTCTAGTTCTGATATATTATATTTTTTGGTATATGTTGAAAAGAACTTTTCAACAAAATACAAAAAACCATTATTAAAATAACATTTTCAACTGTTCCTTATTCAAAATTGTAAAAAGTGATGTAGCCTTAGGCCTCAATCAGTACAAATTAGAACACAAAAAAAAAGTAAAATAACAAAAATACTTAACTCCAAGGAAAATTCAAAACGGAAAGACCTTTATCAAACGGCAAAATCAGAAACTCACTCTCATCAAACAAAATAATTGTATTTTTGTATTGCAGGATGATGGCCCAGCAGTGAAAGGAGATCCATTTTATGAGTCCCAGGAAAATCATAACTTAATTGGTGTAGCTAATGTCTTCCTTGAATGTTTGTTTCACGATGTCAAACTGGACTACCATGTACCAATTATAAGTCAACAAGGGGAGGTAAATATGTTTACTAATATCCTTGAATGTTTGTTCCACGATGTCAAACCGGACTACCATGTACCCATAATAAGTCTACAAGGGGAGGTAAATATGTTTAATAAACATTCTGGGACAAGTGACAGCCTTAATGTGTTTTTCCTAAACATTTGTTACTAATTTCATATATGGTGCAAGTCCAGAAAAGGAGGCAGTTCATATATACAGTATATATGGCATACAAAAATTGGAAATTTAATGGACGAAGGAGAGATTGTTTATCCTCATAAACATTTGTATAAAGTAGAATATTATACAAAATGTCCGACTCAACTGAACAACTGAAGCAAATTTTCTATCAATTTATACAAAATATGAAACCATATTCATTAAACAAAAAAAAAAAAATTATAGATTTGAAAATGACAGATATGATGCTAATTTTGAACTTATATATTTATATTATCAATATAATAATAATAGTCCCTCCCATATTTCTAGGTGTCTGGTAAACTACACATAGAGATATCCAAGCTAGGAGGATCCTTTATGGACCGTTATGGTGATATTAATGAAGATGAAGACGACGAAAGTCCAGTAGAGAGACGTTCTGCTCCAATGATTGTCAGGGTATATATGAATTTGTTTCTCAAGAAAAATTATACATCTTTGTGACATCCAAATACTGCTTTCATTATGTATTTGCCTGATGGATAGAGAAAATGTGATGTTGATGAACTATATAAGTGTTTATATCTTTTAATCTTGATTTTTTTACTTTGTATGAAAAAAGTGTGAAAGCTCCCCTGTTCTGATTTAAACATCATTTGCTTTAATGATTCACTTAAAACTACAATACTACATGTGAACAGATATCCAGAGCTTCTTTATCTTTTAAAGAGATGCAAGTAAAAGTAAACATGATGAATTTGACAAAAATATAAAAATAAAATGTGGTGTGATTGCCACTGAAACAACTATCCACCAGAAACCAAATGACGTAGAGGTACGCAACTATACGTCACCGTACGGCCTCAATTGTTCTATAAAGTATTACTTCTAAGGACAATAACTCCTTCAAACAGTCAACTAATAATTTTTGCCATGTTGTATAAAAATAAAAGATATGACATGGTTGCAAATAAGACAACTCTCCACCAGAGACATAGAAATTAGCAACTATAGTTCAACTTAAGACCTTCAACAATGAGCAAAAGCCATACCTTATAGCAAGCTATAAAAGGTCCAAACATGACAAAGTGTAAAACAATTCAAACGAGAAAACAAACAGCCTGAATTGTGTTCAAAACAATAAATGGAAAACAAATATGATGAACAGAATCAACCACTGAACTATAGACAAACTCCCAATTCGGGACAGGCACATTCAGAATGTGGCGGGGCTAAACACATCTTCAACCATATTTCAAAAAAGCTTTTCAAGACATCACATTTAACTGCTTGTTATATTTTATATATGAATGAATTCTAATTACAGATACGTATCCATCAGGCCAAAGGTCTACCACCAGCTCTGTGCCATTTTGTGTTCTGTCAGTACACATTCTGGGGACATGATGAGTCTGTAGTTGTCCCCCCTGAAATACATCCTGAAGCTGGAGAAACAGAGGACACTAAGATGTTTATTTTTAAACATTCTAAGGTAAAGATTATTTATCTAGTTTTGAAAATTGGATGAAGTTGAATGGGGTATACACAAGTTAAAAGAAGTAATTTTGTGATATTACTATAAACCAAAAGTCTTTTATAGACTTTTTACTTGGTAATTTTATACCAAACCAGTGATAGTATGCTACGCATATCTCTGTACTGTATAAATGTCAAAGTTTTGGTTGATGGCAGTTTACCATGAAACAATATACATGTAGATTGTATATTGAGCTTCTTCAGAGAGAGAGTTTGAAAAAATGAATATTTGGAGGTTCCTACCATCTTTAATATTTTATACATATTTCTTTTACTTTAACAGGATTTCAAAGTACAAACCACAGAAGAATTTATAGAATATTGCCAGGATGGTGCATTATCTATAGAAGTCTGGGGTCATAGAAGTCAAGGATTTAATATAAATGATAAAACTGTAGACAATGTTAATATCAGATCAAGGTCATTGTCAGAAAGGTATGTATAAAATTGTAAATCAAAGGTCAGAGATCAAGATTTGAAAAAAAAAACACAATATAAAGTAGAGTCATTGTCAGAAAGGTATAAGTGACATTGCTAATCAAGGGTCATAGGTCAAGACTTAAAAAAACTAATAATAAACTGTTATCACAGAGATATGTCTTGCTTTTTGTAATTTTGATTATGCAAATGTTGAAATTAAAATGGCAATACTTAACAAGTTAGGCTAATATTCAAAGTCCATGAACCATGACTGAGGTACATGGCTAAACCATCTCCATGCAAATGAGATGCACCAATGCTAATACAACTGCATAACAAATATCATTGACTTATTATAAGTTGTTCCCTTCAAACAAACCTAAACACAAACATTAACTTGTAAACTATGTAAAAGTTTCAAAGTCAATGAACCATGAAGAGGGGTGGAGCTATATAATCTCCATGGAAACGATACTTACAAATGCCAATAAATTTGCATACCAAATATCATTGATTTCACATTAGCAGTTCATCTTAAACTGATCTTATCACAAATTAATACATGTAAACTAACCAAAGTTTCTAAGTCAATAGATCATGACTAAGGGGGCTGAGCCAAATAATCTCCATGGAAATGAGAGGTGCCAATGCTAATACAGCTGTATACCAAATATGGTTGACTTACAACTTGTGGTTCACCACAAACTAGACCTAATCACAAACTAATACATTGTTGACGACGGAAACAGCATACCTATGTCTCGCTTTTTGACTCTGTCAAGCGAGACAAAAACCAAGAGTTTTGTCAGAAAGATCAGTATGTAGAGCATATGGCAATCGGAGGTTATTAGAGTGTAGTAATTAAGATATTGTTAGTTTTAATCAAGGTCATATTAAGAAATATCACTAAATAGAACTTTGCAAGACAAGAGTCACAGGAGTCAATAACAAAAAATGTAATAAAGAATAAAAGGAAATGCATCGTAAAGGTCTGAAGAAAACATCTGTGAAACAATCAACAGCACATCAACATAACCAGTATCTAGTTATTAATTTTAGTAATAAAAACTGAGAGCCACAATATAGCCAATAACTCAATCAATCAATCTTCCAAAAAGAGTGAAGAATTGATATTTGAAAGTTCTCAAATTTTAAGGACTCCGTGAAAAGAGGTTCATACTGTATACTTGGACGATTGCTATTAAAATACTCTGGCAGTTGTATATAATGTATTCAATGGTTTTCTTAAAGAAAGTCTAATGGTCTTTGAATGTATTATTAACAGATGGCAGGAAGTAATGAGAAAGATTGAAATGTTTGTTGATGTACAAGAACTTAACCACCAGGGGGAGTATGTTCCTGTTGTAGTACAGCCACGTCCTGATGTTCCCTCGGCTGGAGTGTTTCAGTTACAACAGGTTAGTATTGGATGATGATGATTGATGGTTGGTTGCTTAACGTCCAGCGGCAAATTAATATCCATATTCAGGACGATAACATGTTAATATAGTATGAATATTTACCCTGCTCGGTTCTAGACAGACACACTGAGCTGGATTTTTAGGCAGTTAAGCTGCCTTATGCGAGCACCCTAGATTTGTGTTCTACCCAATAAATGCTGAAATACGTGCCATTGTTATTATCTAGCTGGATATAATGTTATTTATAACTAATTGAATAGTTTTTTCATACTTTTAATTCTGGATTACAAAAATATGACCAGAAAAAACCTTAAATGATCGTCGAACCACCCAAAAGTTTTGAAGTTGCACATAGGAAGTAGAGCACATTAGGAATCCTTATGTAGTTTATTATCCCCTGTGCTTTTGGCTAAGATGTCAAAGAACAATTGTATGAAATATTTAATCGCCGAAAATCTTTAAAGACAAGTAGTTTAGATTTCCCAAATGGCAAAAGTCGTAGGAATATTGTTTGTCGTCAATACGTGTTACAACTACGTCAGTAGTCTATTAATAAGTTCCACTGTTCATGCTGTTGGCGGCAATTTCAAATTAGAAGACGAAATTTTCGTATCTTTTCAATTTGGAGGCAGGGGTTCAAATCAGCGGTGGTCCGAGGTCCGCGACCTTCCACTTTTGCAATCGGACTCTCGACTTGGTTACTAGCTACGCCCGACGGACCTTTCACTTGAAAGAAAATTAAAAATAACTTTGCAAACCTTTTTACCAAAGTCTCTAAATAAACGATCTCAAAACGTATTTTCATCTTTATTATTCATGACAGCGATGTTCATTTTGTTCAACCGCTAGCTTTATACAGATAATCGCCTACAAGTAATGTGTAAATTCGAGTAAAATCGTATCTGACTGACAAAAACAACATTGAAAAACAATGGATGCCGTGTAGACAATTACAATATCTGGTCCGATTCCGGAAGCGGATAAGGGTAATTCCGGGTTTTGGAGATCAACTACAAAAAAAAATTTCAGGCAGGTGACAAAATACATCTATGCATGGTAAATAAATATAAACACTAGAAATGGAAACCAAAAGATATATGTAAAAGAAAGAAAAAGCAAAAAATATTTGATACAGAAACTCAAAATTACTTTTTGACAAATTTTAATGTCAAAATCCAATACAATGTGACAGCTGGGAACAGTATATCTAACAATATATATGTTCCTGGTGACAGTATAAATCTTCTTTATTAGTGATAAATGTTGATAATGCATGTAAGATGCTTTTAAAGTGTAAACATATTACTGCAATTTTTTTCTCAATTTTGAAGGGTCAGTTAACATAGCTGGAAGTTTCTTTCTTTGTTTTCGCAAATAGTGCAACTAGATTATATGATACCTGAATGTAAGCAAATCATATGATATATAGGTGGAATCCTTTGGGTCACTCTACCCCCTCCTGTTTGATAACTTTGAAACGGATGAGATCCCCACCCCTAAACCATATATATTCATGTATGGGACTATATAACTAATCAAATGAAATATAGGGGGAAGTCCCTAGGGTTACCCCACCCCTCCTGTTTGAGAACTTGGAAACAGTCGAGATCCCCACCCCTAAACCATATATATTCATGTATGGGACAATATAACTAATCAAATGAAATACAGGGGAGTCCCTGGGGTCACCCCAACCCTCCTGTTTGGGAACTTTGAAATGGTCGAGATCCCCACCCCTAAACCAAATATATTCATGTATGGGACAATATAATAAATCAAATGAAATATAGAGGGAGTCCCTGCGGTCACCCCACCCCTCCTGTTTGAGAATTTGGAAACGGTCAAGATCCCAAGACAAGACAAGACAATTTATTTAAACTCAAGCACACGTATGGTGCTACAAGGGGATAACAATTATACATTAACAATTACATATATACTTATACATTTACAAGCAAGAAACACAATAAATAAATAAGTGATATCATACAATAAAATTGAAATAAACCATAGTTGGTTGATTTGTTTGCAAAATTCTTAATTGCAACGTGGATATGAAGTTATTGTAACATGCTTTGTATTATGAAAATATTTTTTCAATATGTCTTAGAAACATGCGCACTTTTGTTAGCAGTGGCACGTTACAGTGTGATAATAGACCAGTAAGTTTCAATTGGGAAGGATTTTGTGTGTAATATGTAGGTATATATCTTTCTCTTAAAGACATAATTTGTTCATTGGAGCATACAAAAAAATAATGATCCCATAAACCATACATATTCATGTATGTGACAATATAACAAATGAAATGAAATATAGGGGGAGTCGTTGGGGGTCACCCCACCCCTCCTGTTTGAGAACTTGGAAACGGTCGAGATCCTCACCCCGAAACCATATATACTCATGTATGGGACTATATAACAAATCAAATGAAATATAGGGGAGTCCCTGCAGTCACCCCACCCCTCCTGTTTGAGAACTTGGAAACAGTCGAGATCCCGACCTCTAAATTAAACCATATATATTCATGTATGGGACAGCAGAACTTATCAAATGAAATATAGGGAGAGTCCTAAGGTTCACCCTACCCCCTCCTGTTTGATAACTTGGAAACAGATGAGATCCCCACCCCTAAACCATATATACTCATGTATTTGGCAATATAACAAATCAAATGAAATATAGGGGAAGTCACTGGGGTCACCCCACCCCCTCCTGTTTGAAAACTTGATAACGGTCGAGATCCCCACCCCTAAACCATATATATTTTCATGTATGGGACAACATAAAAAAAATCAAATGAAATATAGGGTTAGTCCCTAAGGTCACCCCATCCCCTCTTGTGTGTGTTTTAAGAACTTGTAAAAGTTTGAGATACCAACTCCTAAACCATATTCATTCCTGTTCGTCATTTCAAACAGATTTGAATGACATACAAGGTCAATCTCATAGGCATCACATATGCATATCACTTTACTAGACCTAATCAATGTGTACTAGACTTTGCCCAATGTCAGGCGACCATGGGAATGAATAATTATGGCAGCTTTGTTTGGGAGACTTCGTAACAGCATTCGGTTACAATTATTTCTTGTTTATTATAAAATTTTATTGATGCAAAAAATGAGTAGGTTTAAAGAATTTACCTTAATTATATTTTGAATAATTTCTGGTTCTATAAAAAATTTCATTTTAATATGGCTCATTTTAAAGAAAACATATCTTTCAAGCCCAAGAGTGTTTGACCAACTTTATTATAATCACCTGTCATTTTATTCCAAACTTAGACATCATGGACTTGGGGTGAAGGCGTGGGTCATTTATATTTACTATGGGCAGGTCAGTCAGACCTCACCTTTGATCCCCGTAGTAGTAAACATTTGTCTGATTTGTGTCTCATAACTTTTGCACTGTAGAACACAAACTCAGTTTTCTTTCCAGGGAAGCAAGTCCATGCATACTATTACAAGCTCGTACTTAGTCAACTTGAACTACTAACAGTCAACTAATACCAACGTTAACTATCAACTAGAACAACTGCAATCATTTCGAACTTGTACCACTGCAGACACATGACCATTAAAAATATACTTGATATATGCGTTGCTTTTGAAAACCTTGATAAAATATGAATTATTTGCCTTAATAATTAATTAATTAAATGAACATAAATGCACAATATATGAATGTTTAATGTTTGTTCTTTTAAATCTTAAAAAAAATGAAGCAACATAGCCACAGTTTTCATAATTATGTTTTCCTTGGTTTTTGGTTAACTGCCTACAGCGCTTACAGTGCTTTGATTAATGTTAAGAGTTCATAAGGTAACAGTCCGCAGGAAGACATGTCACCTTATCCAGAACACATTATTCTGACTCTGAAACGAGCAGTCTTTGCTCTTACTCCTTAATGCTGCATGCTTAGCGGAGAAGCAGTAAATAACAATTTTAAAGTCTTTGGTTTGACCTACCTGGCTGGGGTTCAAACCCAAGACCTTCCGCACTTGAGGCGAACACTCTTCCATGATGGTTTGTACTGGAAGAATGTTCACTTTCATTATAAAAGTAAATTTGTTAATTTAAATAGGGACACTGTGTTTTCTGGTCAATGTATCTGTATGTATGTTAATCCCCTATCAAGTTTCAGTTTAATGTTAAGGTACTTTACAATGAAGTGTTCACATCAATATAAAACTCAGTTATTCATGTTTATGATGATATGACCTTTTAAATTTTTTTTGCCAAATTACCATTTACACCCTAATTTAAAGGTTCACTGATTGTGGACACACGATAGTATTACCATTTACACCCTAATTTAAAGGTCCATAGATTATGGACACACGATAGTATTACCATTTACACCCTAATTTAATGATTCACTGATTATGGACACACGATAGTGTGACTTTCAAATATCACAGATATCACCTGACATGAGACTAAACTGAATTACTATCTTCTTATTCCAGGGTCATACAAGGAGAATAGGTGTAAAAGTGAAACCTAGTAAAAATTCAGGAACTTTGCCGTTAATATGTGAATCTATATCATCAGTATCTGTGGGATGTATTTGTTCTCGGAGTAAAATGACGCAGAAAGGACTTGATAGTTATCAGGAGGAAGATTTATCATTATTAAGAGATCGATGGTCGGAGGCATTGGAAAGACGAAAGGAATATTTGAATGAACAAATACAGAAACTTATAAACAAGCAAGGTATGATGTATTGTTTAATAGATTTTATCAATAATCAAGAGTAGATTTTTATTATTTTGTTTTCCAAATGTCATGGATTAAGGAATAATTGTTTTTTTGTGTTTTTTGTGGATTCTTGATTTCCTGCTTTTTAAAAATTCTTTATACAAGCCAATAGGAAATTTGTATTTGGATGATATTTAATTATGTGGTTCACAGATCCCCTAGAAATACCTCCAAATTAGTACCCAACAAATAATAATTAATCCACAGTAATACAAGAAACAAAAACTGAAACTAAAAAGCAGTGGTGGTTTAAATTCAAAGCACTAAGCAGCACTTTAAAAGCATGTTTGTAAACAAATGAAAAGAAACAAATAGCAAAAGTCAAATATCACTACTGCTTTTAGCCAGAATAGGAGGCTTTGAAGTAAACCCTAGTGAAAGCTATCAGGATGGTGACAAAAATAAACGTAAAACAAACATACATATTGAATTTTAAATTGATACAAATGGTACACAATATATTTTGAGTTGTAACTTACTTGGCTTTAGTAGAAATGATTTGACATATAATACCAAATTAAGTTTTAGTAGTGTGAAAAAAAAAATGTATTTTCAAATGTAAAGCTTTTGTTTACCTTTGTTTATCAGATAAATCTGAGGCTGATGCTGATCGTGAGAGGGCTCTGATGGATCAGTGGGTGTGTCTAACAGAGGAGAGGAATGCTGTAATGGTACCCTCCCCAGGAAGTGGTATACCTGGGGCACCTGCTGATTGGTATGTCAACTGATCTGTAATATAGTAGTATTGAAAATACATGTACATGTATATTGAATTGCCATCTCAGTGTATTCTCTGCAACTAACAATGATTTGGCTAACAGATCAAAGAAATACCAAATATTTCAATTTAATAGTAGATTTATTGTTTAGATATTTATAGACTCATTCCAAAAGGATGGAGGAAAATGGTCTGCCTTTGTCATACAGTCTGTCCAATTAAAATTGTGTGACATTTTTTTCTGGAACTAAAAAAAAAACTCCTGAAATTTGTTTCCAAGCTTCATTTGAGCATGGTATTCTGTCCTATACCTATTCAAATCCATAGCTCATAAACTAATGCTTATAACAGGGTATCATTAATGAGCAATAGCTCTCAGTACATCTTGTTAGAGCTACATTCATAAACTTTCATCCATTATAATAAATAGTTACAGGGCTCACGCTACCAGTCGACTAGGGCGAAGATGTCGCTTTCCCGTCCGTCACTTCGCTTTGCACGACCCTTAAAAGCGAAAACAAGTCGCCCTGTGGTTTACGATACTCGCTTTCAGTCACTTTCGTTATCTGGATTATTCAATTTTTACCAAGACGATAAAACAGCAATTTTTCATTTAAAAGTAAAGAAATTCAAGGCATAAAAGATTTATTTTCTTCAGAAAAGAGGTTAAAGCATTGATTTCAAAGTTGGTGGCATGTTATTTCATAAAAACAATTTTTTATCACTTTCAGTACTTGTTACTCAGGGCGTACATGAAATCATTCTAACTTTCGACAAAATAAGTTGTTGCTTCATTAGAACTTGATGAAATTTGTCTGAAGTAAATTTGTTATCCTTGTATTGCATTAAAAACGTCATTTTCCTTTCCAAATAGCGTGTTAAACATCGTTTATTTTTTGTAAATTTTTCTTCGTCCGCCATTTAAATTATTGGGCATATTATTGTACAACTACGGATTGGAGTTGGGATTTCATCTGAAACGGACCTGCTATGACCGAAATCCGGATTTTACAATAATGACTACGGACGCATGAATGGCACTGCTGACAGACAAAAATTGATCCCAAAAGGAAAAATTACGCATTCCACATGCATTCAACATACTTTTGGTAAGATCTTCTTGATTAATGTATATATTTCCATGTATATGCATTGTTTCAATTTATAAGTTAAAGTTGCTCAACTCTGGGACTATTACACTAATATAATTATATTATGTCCAAGCTTAACGTTTTTTAATTGATATAACAACTTTCTTTTCCTTTTTGATATAAAAAAAAATCTTTATTATTAGTGCCAGATATTTAATTGTTTTTTTCTGAAAAGAGGACTCATATGATTGTGCAACTAGATATGATAAAATGAAACAACTTTAAATTTGAACAGTTACTTTAATTGTATACCCAGTTACAAACTGAACAATATACAAAAATTAAGATACATATGGCCCTTAATGTATTATAGTAAAAACCAAACATTGTAGCGCCGCGAGCAAACAAGCACTTCTCTTTCAAATCTCACCACTTCTCCCTCTCAATTTCAAAAAGAGAAGTCACTTCTCCCTTTGATTCTGAAGTAGTGTGAGCCCTGAAAAAATAGTTATTGTTTTTTATTTTAATTTACTTCATGTTATTTATTTTTATTTTCGATTATGCTATTGGTGGAAAATGCTCATAGAAATTTGTCTTTCTTGATAATGATCATACTGAATTCCCATAATACTATGTTGTTATCTCATTTCTTTAGTCAAATAAATAAGAAGATGTGGTATGAGTGCCAATGAGACAAATATCCATCCATGTATATATTAATTGAAAATAATAATACTGTTCTAAAGATATTTAATGTAAATGTTTTTTTTCCAGGGACCCACCAGATGATATAGAACGACATACACCAGTTGTCTTCCTTGATCTGAATGGTATGTCTATACTGTCAAGAAGATGTCAACTAATAAGTAAACACTAACTTATCCTCACATATAAAAAAATATTTGTATACAATCATTTAAACAATGTTAACAGAAATTTGAAAAATAGAAGACATACAAATATTAATTCACCTTTTTGTTGAGCCTACGAAATATATGGATCTCATATTCTGTCATCAGCAAATATTTAGGTTCAATCTCTGGATAAACTTTTTTATAGTCATCAATAATTTGATCAAAATTAATGGGACTTTATCAAACTTGGACAGATGCTTCTTTGTGAACAAAAGACTGTATACAGAGCTAAATTTTGAAAATATTTTTTTTTTAAATTTTTTCTCTATTTTACAAATTAATGGAAATTCTTTTAGCAGTTAACATTTTATCAGGATGGTGACAAAAATAAACGTAAAACAAACATTTCATGGATCAGTGAACAAGGTTAAGTTTTGGTGGTCAAGTCCATATCTCAGATACTATAAGCCATAGGTCTACTATATTTGGTGTATGGAATGATTGTAAGGTGTACATGTCCAACTGGCAGGTGTCATCTGAATTTGACCTCATTTTCATGGTTCAGTGGTCAAAGTTTTGGTCTTATACTATATGCAATAAGTCAACTATATTTGGTGTATGGAAATATTCTATGATGTACATGTCAGTCTCGCAGGTTTTATTTGACCTTGACCTCATTTTTGTCGAGCCTTCGACTTTAGTCGAAAAAGCGAGACATAGCGATCCTACATTCCGTCGTCGTCGTCGTCGGCGGCGTCCACAAATATTCACTCTGTGGTTAAAGTTTTTGAAATTTTAATAACTTTCTTAAACTATCCTTGATTTCTACCAAACTTGGACAGAAGCTTGTTTATGATCATAAGATAGTATCCAGAAGTAAATTTTGTAAAAATAAAATTCCATTTTTTCAGTATTTTACTTATAAATGGACTTAGTTTTCCTGCCGGGAAATATTGCATTCACTCTGTGGTTAAAGTTTTTAAAATTTTAATAACTTTCTTAAACTATCCTGGGTTTGTACCAAACTTGGACAGAAGCTTGTTTATGATCATAAGATAGTATCCAGAAGTAAATTTTGTAAAAAAATAAATCCATTTTTTCCTTATTTTACTTTTAAATGGACTTAGATTTTCTGCCAGGAAACAACACATTCACTCTGTGGTTAAAGTTTTTAAAATTTTAATAACTTTCTTATACTATTTTGGATTTGTACCAAACTTGGACAGAAGCTTGTTTATGATCAAATGCTAGTATCTAGAAGGAAATTTTGTTTTCTTCCAGTTAACATTACATTCAGTCTGCAGTTAAAGTTTTTAAACATTTATTAGATTCATAAACTATCCTGGATTTTTACCAAACTTGGACAGAAGCTTCTTACAATCAAAAGATAGTATCAAGAGGAATATTTTTATTGATTTACTTCCTCATTTTTGTTGAGCCTGCGATTAACAGAAAAAGTAGGCGAGACACTGGGTTCCGTGGAACCCTTACGAATTTTTACGGTTCATTACTCAGTGTTAAGTTTATGTGTTTCAGTCTGTTTTTCTTAAACTATAAGCAATAGGTCAGCTATATTTGTTGTATAAAAGGATTGTAAGCTGTTCATGTCTGCCTGGCGTGGTTCATCTGACCTTGACCTCATTTTCATGATTCATTGGTCAATGTTTAGTTTTCTTGGTTAAGTCTGTTTCTTAGAAACTATAAGCAATAGGTCAACTATATTTAGTGTATTGAATGATTGTAAGGTGTACATGTATTTCTCGTTTGGTTTATATGACCTTGACTTCATTTTCTGGGATCATGTTAAGTTTATGTAATAGTTGTAGTAAAGCTTTCATTTAGGACTATCAACATATCAATGATTAGTAAAGAAGGCGAGACATTTTAGCGTGTGCACTCTTGTTATTCCAATCTGTCAGATACCTACTGAGGAGATAACTGTATTGTTTTTTAAGCTTGGCCTTCATAAAACGTAGATTTTATTGTTGCAAATTGAGTTTACCTAGCGATGCGTAGTGGAGCTAGGTAAACAGATATTTGCAACAGTAAAATAAAGTTTTACGAAGGCCTAGCTTATAATACAATACAGTTTTTTCCATTCTAATGCCACATATTAATATAAATTCCATATTAGTAGATATTTTGGCTTGAAAATGCCATAAATTAAAAAGTCCACAAAACTGTTACAATGTCTTTGACATCTAAACAATGTGACGTTCAGGTATATTCCCAATGTCAAACATAAACACTAGACGTATTTATACTTTTTGCACGCTTCTAAATGGTTTTAATATTGACAAAAAGAAGATTTTGAAGCACAAAATGTGACTTTTTTGTTTATTTTTTTGAGAAATTACATACCAAACAAATTCTGAATTCAAAATGGTGGCTTTCCTTAGTTATGGACTGGTAGAACGTGGACTCTAACCCTTCAAAATATTTGAAATGAAAATTGTCGTTCTAAATGAATTGCATTAGAATTCTTGTTTGCCATTATATTGAAGGAACTTAACAACATTTTTGTCACATATTTCTCCAATACTGCTGCACAGAATGGCTTCATATTTGGCCAGCAGCACAACAGTGACAAGTTGTAAAGTGTGTGCCTCTTTCTGAACTCAGACAACTTCTACCTGTTTTCCAAAACATTTGAATAACAAGTGGGGGTAGGATTATCACAACAACATGTACATATTATTTTTATTTCAGCTGATGATCTGAGTACACCCAGTGCTAGAGAAGGATTACAGGCTGCAGGCTTCAACTCCATTCTTCCCAAAGAACAATCATCTCAATTCTTTAATCTTCCAATCATTAAAAACATCACAGATAAGGACAGCGTAAGTATAACTTTAAATGTGTTGTCTCAACTTATGTGATTAGAAAACAGGATTTCAAGATTAACAAATTTATTATTGCAACTGTTGACAACTGAGTGCAAGATTTATTATGTGGTTTCAAGAAATGCTGTATACAAATAATGCTTTCAAAATAAAAATAAAAATATTTCCTTTTGCAGTTTTAGCAATAATAAAAAACTTGCAAAATAAATTCCGAATTTACAGTAGCTTATCAAATACTGATTTTCTTTAACGTTATTGTAAATTGGATGTTATTACCATACAATAACATAGGCCTTCAAACAGCCATGATTGTGAAATATATATATAAACTGATGCAGAACTTGCCATATATTATAGGTAACCTCTGCCTCATATTTATTAGAAAATCTTTTTAAACAAATTGAATTTTAATTGATTATCCAAGCGATATGTTGCTGTCTGTATCAAAAATTCCATGTTTTATTTTTCAGATATCTGCTGTTGTATCATGGGATTCATCCATTCATGATTCACCAAATTTAAATCGTGTTACTTCATCAAATGAGCGTGTTTATATGATATTAAAAGCTGTAATAAGACTTAGTCATCCAGCGTACTTGGAAATAGTGTTACGGAAAAGAATTTGTCTCAATATTTATACAAACTTTAGTATTACAAGTCTGACTGATAGATTAAAGAAAAAAATTACTGGCCAGGTAAGAATGATATCAATGGTCAAAATTAATCTGAAATTTTTCATGGTATGACTCCAATTTTCACATAAAACAAATAATTTTCTTAACAATATTATGACATCTTCAGTTTCAAAATTGATGAATAGATAAAAGAAACATAATAAAAACTCATCAAAATTACCAGGCTGATAGTTTGTTATGCCAGACACACGTTTTGTCTACAGGCTGATAGTTTGTTATGCCAGACACACGTTTTGTCTACAGGCTGATAGTATGTTATGCCAGACAACGTTTTGTCTACATACAACTCAATTTAAACAGCTAGAAAGTCAAGTTGAAAAGTATTGGAAAACCATTACCTCCAAAAAGTCAAATATGGCCAAGGCCTTCTATGCCTGGATGTTAGTCACTTTATAGTGTAGTACTTGACTTAAAAATGATTGTGAAGTCAGTGACTTAAGTGACTAGATTTTTTACAATTTTCATATCTGACAGTGAAAGTCCTAAATGTATATTTAAACTCAGGTTTTCTACATCTGTATATCATAAGATATTGAGTGTAAGTCACAATATAAAGCTTTTGACCTCTGACCTATTTTAACAGTTGCTAAGATATTGATTATTTTCTTTGCAGGAGAAACTGTTTTCTAGTGGAATTTCATATGAAGTTGTTTCAAATATACCTAAGGTAAGTAAAGGTTGTATTAAGGAAATAAGAAAAGTTTCCACAAGATATGCATGTACACGTTATTTCAGCAGATTTGATGGAAAATGTTTAAGTTACTGGAATTATCTCTCAATTTAGGTGCAGGTAGAAAGCAAAATTAACTTTTTGTGGATAAGCACTTTTTATTTATCACAAAATAAGTTAAAATTTGAGTAAGTTGTCTTTGACTTGAATTAATAAAACAATCAGTTTGAAAAAGAATTTTACACTTGCTTTCAGTGATCAAATTTTAAAAATTGTCATATTGTTACGAAAACTTTTACTTAGTGTGTAGGGGTTATATAATGACAGACTTTTGAACTGGAAGAGAACACATTAAAATCAGACTTCTTTATTATTGACAGGCTTCTGAAGACTTAGAGAACATGGAAACCTTAGCACAGATGGCTGCGTCACAGAATGAAGTGACTGCTGACGGAGAAACTTACATTGAAAAATATATCAAAGGAGTCTCAGCTGTTGAGAGTATATTGACATTAGACAGACTTAGACAGGTTTGTATAAATTTATATGCACTTTATGGAGTATCTACAGAATACTGCTAGGTTGTATAGGTAGGGGTCTTTGAAAAAAAGTTTGTGCTTTTGAAAATTAATGTGCAATTTATTGTCAAAGTACCAAAAAAACAAGACATGACATACAACATGTCATATTAGTATAAAAATTTAAGATTATAATTTGTTCATTGAAATCAGGACAATGAAGTAATTTGCAGTCTGTAATACATTGTTAGTATGCTTGTCTTTTATAGTTTAGAGCTAAGTTTAACCATAAACTGAAATTCTATACCATCACTATTTTATTTGTCTTACAGGAAGTGAAAGTAAAGGAATTGACAGCAGCACAAGGGAGAGCACTCCGGAAAACAACAAGTACACCAAATATTCCTAATGTATGTAAATTTGAAATCAAAATAGAAAACCTAGATATTTTTCCAATGTTTACATTTTATTCACAATAAAAAAAAATGTGTGCTCACGAAAATGAATGTGTGATTTACCATTTAATTACATATGTGAATAAAAATTAGTATTTTGAATTGAGGACAACATTTGTGATGACAGATAAGTCTTACTTATTGCAATCATATATTTGATGTTTTGCTATTCAACAGATGTCTTCAGATGGAAAATCAACTATATTAATAAGCTTAGTTGTGAATTTTTTCCTTCATATCTTTAAAGAAAAATATTTCAAATTAAAATTATTACTTGCTTGGACATAGCCAGTGTGATGAAATAAGTCTCAAACTGCTACCAATCAAAGTATTGTATTATAAGGAAATTCTCAAATAAGAAATACAAATTCACATCAAAAACTGCAATTAGATAATTTCAGCTTCAGAAATGTTTACTTTATTGAAAAGCATGAAATTCAAGGTCAGCAAAAGAGACATTGGCGATAAATGCTCAAATAGAACATTGAATAAGTTTCTTTTTCATGGAGGTATAGTAATATTATGGGTTGTTTTTTGTCTTATTTCAGGCTGGCTTAACACCTACCAAATTTGATGGACAGGTATTCTTTAAGAAATTTAGAAATATGTATATATATTGCAGAAAATTTGAGTCGTTAACTATATTATAAATATAAGACAACAGATATCGCATACAGATAAATTTAGTTACATGGTAATTTAAAAAAAGGGTTTGTTATGCAAACCTACTTTCTTCATTAAATGTTTAATCTTAGAAAATCTTGGAAGTTGGAAAATTTGCATTTTTTTCACAAATATTTTTCTTGATTTACATATATTTCTAATGATACCAGCATCTGGATGTTATTCATCTTTGAATAAAAGAAAAATCAGCTGATTTCTTATTGTTTTCCTAGTAGCAGGTTCCCATCAGATCTTCCTTAGGTTGATTTAATGAGTACAGCACAGTATCTTTTCACCTTATAACCCATCTGGAATACAATATAAATATGCTTATTTTCTATCTTTTTTTTTATTTCAGCTAAGAGCAGACAGTATCCAAGATTTATCATGTGACAGTTTATCTCCAGGGAGACGGTTGTCACAGCCTGGTAGGTTTTTTCGTAAAAGGTCAAGGTCGGATGTTGGAAAAAGCCTGAAAATCTTTGCAAAGGAACTGAAAAAACAATGTAAAAATTTAGGTAAAGATATGTGTTGAACCAAAGCATAATTGATGTTTTGCATGTGCTTTTATTGTTACATATTATCATCCTACTGCACAAATTCTGTCTTTCACTTGTCAAAAGTTGTGAAAACGTTGTTACTTTCTTCTGGTTAGTTGACCTTGGTGAAGGTCTTAGGGTAAAATAAGGAAAAAAACTTATGTGTAAATAAGTTATTGCTTATTTTGAAGAGATAGTTCCAAGTTCATTTTAATTTCCAAATTAAAAGGTCTCTGCCATTAAATACCCATTAATGTATTAAAATATCCTAAGAAAAAATGATTCGCTTTCAGTGATTGAGACAATATTTGATTAACAATGGAAAACAAATACACATGTTACTCAATTGGTTAATGGCGTTTAAAATGTCCAGCCCCCACATTTAAGTGTAATTTCAGGAATCAACATGGTCTTGCTTTACATTAGACCATTATACTGGATATGATTTTCAACTTGACAGAGAAGCATCAAATACAAATTTCAATTGAGAACTTCATATTGATTATTGAGGGGAGTAAAAGTTTTTAGATAGCCCTATAAGTCTTCTGGATCATCAATTATTAACAAGCATCAAGCTACATGTATATTATTATTAAATGTTTTGAACATGGCTATATTCAAGATTAATTTAATGTTTCAAATAAGATCTGTTTATTTTCACTTGATAGATTTTGCTTCAATGGTTTTACATGACAGATTTGATATACATATATTAGCTTAGGTCTGAGCATATACACATTTATCAATGTGCTTTGGTTTTCATATAAATTTATGCTTAATTTTCAGTTTCCATGGTACATCTTTTGCAGTGATTTTCTGTTGCTATTTCCATATTGTATTTTATATTAAGTGAATAAAAGATACAGACAGGTTATATTATAATATCAAGTGTAGCTTCTTTTTTTGTTGTTGAAAAGATAGAAAAAAGACATGTAATATTTTTATTTTTCATTTCAATGATAGAAATATTTAAGCAAATAATGAATAAAAAGTCTCTATTATTTCTTGAACCAAGATTGTGTGGGATATTTTCATTTCTCATTCCAATGCTAGTATTTATTAAACAAATATTGAATAAAAAGTCTATAGGATTTCTTGAACAAGATAGTAAAAAATGTGTCATAACTTTATTTCTCATTCCAATACTAGAAGTACTTAAACAAATGTCAAATAATACTTCTATATGATTTTCTTGAACCAAGAAGTCATGCAAAATACAAAACAATGTATATAACACCATGCGGACGAATACAGATGATAGAATGATGCATTATGGTTAACATAGAAAAGCAGAGAAAAATAGGAAACAAGATGAGAGAGTTGGTTTTCCTATGATGAACAATATTTACCAGTTAAAAAATCATTATTTAGATTTGAAGTGAAATACAAATGTAACTAATTAATAATGAAAGCCTTTCTTTTAAGTTTTTTATGACAAAAGCCTTACTATTTTACTTCCCTGTTTTTCTTCAAAGTAACTCTTGTGATGTTGTCTACATATCCTTCATATGAACTCTTTACGCCATGATGTGTCTAAATGTCATTCTTGCTGACACATAATGACTTTATTGTTGTATTCTTTGCAGCCCGCCCAAACTTTCTGAGTTTACGGGGCACTGGTATAACTGCTAAGCGTATGTTACATATACTTCAACTGTTTCGTATGTTTTTAGATTTACTTTTTTTCAGTTTCTTTTTGAATGCTTTTTATAGTCCATGTTGTATTTAAAAGTATTCTTTTATATTCATTGTTTTATTGTTGTTATGAATACTTTGAGAAGCTGTTGATATGATTCTATTGTAATGCATATATGTAAGAAAATAAAGACGAGGATTGAAGCTTTATTGTGATAATAGTGTTAATTTTTATATGTCAGAGGTAAAAACATCCTTTCATCTTAGATCTGGAAATCAGAAATGAGACAACATTGCAATATTTACAGGAGAGCAAACTAATTCAATATTTTTCTTGTGGTTTTTGCTTCTGGTTTGGGCCTTAGAAATTTATAGGGCAGTTAAATCTTCACAATGTTGATCATTCCTGTTTCACCATTTATAAATTGCATATATGTTGACAGTGAGTTGTTTGCTGACGATAAATTTAGTTGCAAAATGCCTACTGCAAAAAGGACAAAAATAAAACTTCTTGATAAACAAAGTTATTGGATGAGTTCTTAATGTTGACATCAAACATCTTCAATTCTTGTTTCAGGATGTTCGCTACTCTGTTTAAAAATAACAAGATTTTTTAAAAGACTGTTATAAATTGATAGTATATAAATAACAGAACTAAAAAAGAAGAGTCCGTGTCCTTGTTTTCGAGATATAAGCCATTAAAAATTTGGCGGGAAATGATTTACTATAGATGTTTCGTACATTTAACATTGCACCTTTTTTCTTATATAAACTATGAAAAAATAAGGATTTTATAAGATTTTAAATATGGCTTTTTAAACTATATATAATAAAATTATGAAAAGAAACATAGGGGTTAGCGGGCAAAAATTTTTAATGGCACTCCATAGATAAAACCAGAGGATTCTGAATATCTGACAAAAAGACAAAAACAAGAGGAGCAAACATCCTTAATACACAAGTAAGACCTCAAAAACTTGTGTGAGATGCAAATTCATAAAGTCTGTGCACTTGTGAAACACAATATTTCTTCAGTATCGAATAGGGATAGATATATTGTTTAAATAAGCTTGCTAAAAGTTTTTTTGTTTTAGGTCTAAAATTTTCATATTTTGAGTAGAGAAATATCATAACTCATTTTCAGAAAATTTATATATTTCTTGATGAAAATTTTTTTTGAAATAAATGGTGTGTCAGACATAAAAAAGAAATTTATTTTTATGTGTTGTAATGTAATTTTAGCTAGCTTAGCTTTTGACAGTTGTCATCTTCTATTGTTGATTTATTTTTTCGTCATATTCATGTTTAGATATTTGAACATTTTTGACAATGAAGATTGTTTTATATTTATTTGGGCTGCATTCCTTATCAAAAACATATGCAGCTTTTACTGTAAAAAATGAAGATTGTTTAATATTTGTTGGGCTCCGTTCCTTATCAAAACATCAACAAGTTTTACTTTAAAAAATGAAGACTAAAATATTTATAGGGGCTGCATACCATATCAAAAACACTGTGCTGCTTTTACTGTAAAAAAAAAAATTATTGAAAACTTACTGTTGCTGCATACCATATCAAAAATTGTTAACATCTGCAGCTTTTATTGTAAAAATGGATTCTGTAAATTTGCAATATGTATTTTGAAGAACTTGAGAATACATAAGCACTAAAATAAATTGTAAGTTCTTTAGGACTTAAATATAGCATATGAGGGGATTCAAGTATGAGAAATATCACTTGATATTTTTATGATGTAAAGGTTCTTCTCTTATTGAATTGCTGTATCAGTGCTCACTAACATTAGATTTAAATTAGTCACAATTAGACACTACTCTGTCATTGCAGTGTTTGTATTCATAAACTTATTGTTGATTTTGAGAATTTCCCATAGCAATATAAATGGGCCATCATTTGGTCTCTTGTGGAGAGTTGTCTCATTGGCAATTATACCACATCTTACTTTTATATATATATTAATTTTTCACAAATTTCACAGAAGGTATATTTTTGCAGAATTAAATATACACCAATACAAATGCTAATTTTAAGGGGTTGCTGCCTGTATGATGTGTAATATATATCTACTTTTATTCAAATGAAAAGAAAACTTACTAAAAATCTTCGTTATGTAATGACTATGTGCATTTCTTATTACTATAAATTCAGAAATTTTTGCAATGATTTTATTATTGCAGAAATTTTGATGTGATAGGTCCTTCAAAAATGGTAACTTGTATGTTACCTTTGGCAGCATTAGTTGATACAACATTGTGAAATTGCAATAATTAAACTCATGTTTGTGTCCATTTTTCAACAGTCTCAATATTAAATGAACACTAAAATTTCTGATTTTACAGTCCAATAAATTGCTGAGTATGAACAGTAGAGTATCATTCTCCCCCATTATCCATATATTGTTAATACGGAAATCATTGTGTGCATTTAGTATTGCAATTTTTGTGGAAAGGACAAAAATGTGAGATTAATTATTGCGATTGCATGAAAATCTGGATACAGTTATATATATCTGATATCAGAATGCAAGTTCTTTTTATTGCGATACTCACTCAATCGCATTATTCGCATTAATAAAAACCTCGCAATAATTTCTGAATTTACAGTAGTTAAATTAAAGATTTTACATCAATGATGGAATTTGGATATCTGCATGAAGTATTATACAGAATAATACACACATGATTGAATGTTTGAAATATTTCATGACTGACACAATTAATCATTTCAGTTAGATATTACATTTTGATGCATGCATCTACATTTATAATGCATCTACAATAAGCATTTAGGAACTTTTTTTTTAAACATGACTGTCACAAATATTATTCATGCATCACAAAAGTACATTTTTTGCAAGGAACATGGGTTCACTATATTTTAAGGAATTGTAATTAGCATGAAATATGAGCGGACATTTCCGATATACAGGAAGATGTTAGGACATTCAAATCTTTGATGAATTGTTGACTTATCTTTAAAGACTGATTTGATTCTAATTTTATGAAATGACTGAATACCAAAACAGACAATTCAAAAAGGACATGAAAGGTCTGATTTAAACAATTTTCAGTTTCTTGCGTTTAAAGCAAAACTAAATCATTTGGTCTTTGTTAAAATGCATTGAACATATATTTAACATTAGTAGGTCAAAGATTCATTCGAATTTTTTTATGCAACCAGATAACATCCGAGGAAAAAAACTTCAAATCAAGCATAGGTTTAAAAGACGAGAAATATATGTACAGTCAAACCTGCTCTAAAGGACACCTCTATTAAGCAAAAACCTGTCTTTTCAGGTCACCCTCTTCTAGTCCCCACTGTTGTAAACCTATCCTTTTAAAACCTCAAATCAAAGGTCACTTATGAGGTCAATTCTCACTGGTCCAGAGGGTGAAACCTTTATATGTAGGTTTAACTATTCTTAAATTTGAAATAATTTTATCTGATTTGTTGAAGTTAATGCAGTGTAACATGTTTATAAACTTATCTTTAGGCTACATACAACAAACTTTATATTGCAGCTGCTTCACCCAAATCTTTACTTAGTCCCATGGGTTCAAAGGTCAAACCAATGTCAACTTTAGTAGAAGAACAACAACAGAGAGAGTCCAAACCATTGCTGAAGAGAGAGGATTCAGATGAGGTAGGTCCCTTGCAAAAAATAAAAAAAACAAAAAACACACCAAAAAAAGGGTCATCTTGACCATTTTTATGCCTCTGCCACGGCGAAGGAAGCATAAAGCATAAGTACATCCATACGTCCAAAAATTAGTTTCCATTCTCTAACTTTAGTTTGCCTCGACCAATGCTATAAAAACTTATACACATTGCTTATTACCACAAAACACAGATCAAGTTCGAATTTGGGTTGTCTCACTTCTACTGTTCATGAGTTATGTCCCTTTATAACATATGCAAGCAGGGACATCATTTGTGTCCCATGGACACATTCTTCATTTATTTTTTCTCATAGACTTGAAAACACATTAGTTTGTGAGGGAGAGAACAGATTAGTAATTCAATCAATATGTAGGCACTGGGCTGTAAAGGATGCCTCTGTGAAAAAGAGCAGACATTTTTGTAGTCCCTTTAAAATCTTAAGAGGGTGTTAACATTTTGTATAACTGCAAGGTTTTGTGCAAGTCATAGAGAGCGGTTTCTTATGATCTAGATGGTTTCTATTAGGAATAAAAACAAATAACTTCTTCAGCAAAAATTGAAACCAGAAGATAAGCTGAGAACATTAGAATAATGGTCAGAAAAAGTTCTACAAAAAATTGAAATAAGATATTTCCAGCATAAGACATTGGAATTTAATCCTCGTCTTCAACAAAGCGAGATTTACATACCTGGTTTGCAAAATAGGATATTTTCAGAATGTTGACTACAGCTCATCCAAATAAAATAAACATCTTTCAGACTGAGTTTAAATATGATATATCGAATAATAAGCTTATTTACCTTTTGTTTATTTGTAGGAATTTGATGAAGCTGACCTTGCCGACATTCAAAGGAGAAAATTCCAGTCTGCCATAGAGCCAGAGCCTAATAGTGTTAGTTCTGATGATTTCCAAGACTTTGAATCTTATCAAAGTCAACAGCCACAACCTGAAGAAAATCCAATGAATTCAACAGCCGAGGAAATTCCTCATTCTTCTACAAATGACAGTTTAGCTGAGATACAAGGGAAAAATTTCACTCCCAGTTTAGTTTCCAGTGGTTACGGGTCACAGGCAGTTTCCATGTTGACTTTGTCATCAGAAGATTCATTGAGTTTAAGAAGTATGGAAGATAATAATGATGGCCATAAAGACTCTAGAGGGAGTCAGAAAGGCAGTATTGAACAAAGTAGTGAAAGTGATGAAGACCAACATGGTGTTTCTGATGTTTGTCATTCTGAGTCAGATGAACGTTTAACTGAATGTAGCAGTACTAATGTAATGGAAGCTTCTGATTCAGATTCAAATAAAACCGTTTTATCACAGGAGAAATTAGAGACTGAAGAGAATGTGGACAGTAATTCTACGGAAGCCTCAAAGGGTGCTGAATCCAACATGGAATCAAATCTAACGGGTGCTCGTGCAATAGCAACTAAAACTGTTGATGGTGTAGATCCTTATAGTGAAACTGCAATGGAAGAACTGGAAAAATTAGGTTTTGATGAAGAGGAGGAAGATATTCAGGAAGATAAAAATAATGGCTCGCAAATTGAATTGTTTATTGCAGAAGAAAATGATGAAAAATCTGCTAAAAATAGAACTACAGAAAAATTAATTTCTAACAAGAGCTTCACACCTCCTAGTACTTTGGAAAAGACAAAAGGTGTGATTAAACGTCCACAGCGACCTTTATCTTGTGTACTGCCAGTAGATCAAAGTGTTATAGAAGAAAGCATGAAGAGAAATAGTCTACAATTACATATGTCTGATGAAGAAGACATTGGTTAGTATTTTCAGGAAACATGGAGGAATATTTTTTTAAATAAATCTTTTTTTTATAAAAAGAGAAAAAATTAGTGACTAAATGGTCTTAAAGGCAGGTTAGTTTAGATAGTTTCATACAGTTCATATAATCTTGTGTGGTAGAAAAGATAAGTAAGTGCCTGAACCATGCAAGAAGGATTTGGTGGCCTGAGAAATATAGATTCCACCACTGCAAAAAGTGTGTTACAATATTTCTCCACTCAAGACAGTTTAATTCTAATATTTAAAGCGTGAGGCTTGCCGAGTTTTTATACGACAGCAAAAACATTTTGTGGTCGTATATTGGTATCACGTCGTCATCGTCCGAAGACACTTGGTTTCCGGACAATAACTTTAGTATTAGTAAATAGAAATCTATGAAATTTAAACACAAGGTTTATAACCTAAAAGGAAGGTTGGGATTGATTTTGGGGGTTATGGTCCTAACAGTTTAGGAATTAGGGGCCAAAAAAGGGGTCCAAATAAGCATTTTTCTAGTTTTCAGACAATAACTTGTGGAACGGTGTATGGATTTCTCTGAAATTGTACAACAAGTTTCCATACCACAAAGGGATGGTTAGGATTGGCTTTGGGGGGTAATGGCTCAAACCGTTTAGGAATTAGGGGCAAAAAAGGGGGAAATACAAGGGTTTCCTTGTAAATGGACAATCACTTTGAAGTACAATGTTAAATTTGGATTACCTCCTGTACACTGCTTTAAAATTATGTATAAAGAAAAAAAGGGGGGGGGGGGGCGATTCGCAACAGCATAGTGAATTGCACAAAAGCAAAAAATCATATAACCAATTCTAAGTTCTTTGACTACAGTTATTCTGTGTCAGAAACCTATTATGTGTCAAACATTTAATTTCAATCCAAATTCAGACCTGTATCAAGCACGAATATTGTGTCCATTTTTGCCCCAACTGTTCAGGGTTGGACCTCTGCGGTCGTATCCAGCTGCGCTCGGCGAAGCAATTTATTTAAACTATTAAGATTTAACTATTGAGAGAGGAGAAATATCGTAATAAACGAGTTACAGTGGTGGAATCTGTTTCTCTAATGATTTTTATCATTCCTTTTCAAAGATTTGCAGAAAGTTGTGTTCTTTATATGTGACGTCATCAGGCATGGTCGCCTTTATTTGTGAGGTCACAATAGGAAATTCAGAAGAAACCAAGAAAATTTGACGCCATAATTAAATTTCGACCATTCATTTGCTGAGAACAGATATTTCACTAGTTAGGAGAACAACATTTTCACAATCAGTTGGGAAATGTAAAACTAGTGAAAAAATTACAGAAATTGTGATTCTACATGGTGTATATTTTTGGATAAAACTGAACATATGCTAAAAATATTCCATTATATACATAATGAGTAAACTTATGTGTTTTAAGCTGGCCCCATGTGAGCTTATGCCATCACTTGGCGTCCATCATTGTCTGTCGTCGTCTGTCGTCGTAAACTTTTTAAAAAATCTTCTCCTCTGAAACTACTGGGCCAAATACCTTCAAACTTTAACTAAATGTTCCTTAGGGTATCTTGTTTATAAATTGTATCCGAAGCTTGTATCCATCGACAAACATGGCCGCCATGGCTAAAAATAGAACATTAGGGTCAAATGCAGTTTTTGGCTTATATCTCAAAAACTAAATCTTTTAGAGCAAATGTGACAGGGGTAAAATTGTTTAATTGGTCAAGATCTATCGGCCCTGAAATTTTCAGACCAATCGAACAACCCTTTGTTGGGTTGCTGCCACCGAATTGGTAGTTTTAACAAAATTTTGCAGATTTTTGTTATTATTTTGAATATTATTATAGATATATATAAACTGTAAGCAGCAATAATGTTCAGCAAAGTAAGATCTACAAAAAAGTTAAATGACCAAAATTGTCAATTGACCCCTTAAGGAGTTATTGCCCTTTAAAGACAATTTTACACAATTTGTTCATCGTTTGCTAACATTTAAAAATCTTCTCTGAAATACAGGTGAGCGATTCAGGCTCTTGAGAGCCTCTTGTTAGTTAAATTATAAAAAATTTCGCCTAAATTAAAAGATATTGACTGATTATGAAACAATATCCTCATACAGATGAATTGTTCTTGGCATAAACTTTTTCGTGTATGCTTGAAACTAAGTTTGAAAAAACAAAATTAAAATGAGTGAGAGCAAAAAAAAACAAGTTAGTCTAAAATAGATAAGATATAACAACACACAATTATGGACAATTTTGTTGTTGAATATTTATGCATTCAACTTTCATTGAATTATTTGCCACTGGTATCAGAACTATTTATCATAACTTACATTTTATATTTTTATCTAATAGAACATGATGATTCCTTGAGCACCTGTTCCTTTGGTAGTCGGGCAGATTTAGATAGATTACAAGAAGTACCTGTGCCAGCGTGGATTATCATCGGTGAAAGTGTGATTGTTACACCATCCAAAGGTCCACAGAAAACTGGAGTTGTACAATTTGTGGGGCCAGTAGAGTTTGCTGCTGGACCTTGGGTCGGAGTAGAATTAGATTTACCTGAAGGTAGTTAGTCTGTAGTATCCATGGTAGCTGTTTCAGATAAACATACACAGATGAACAGAACCAATTGAATACAAGAAGAATTGATAAGGAATGTGCACTTTTGATATTAAATTCTAGCACTATATTTATTAATTGTGAAAAATGTTGAAAAAGTGTTTTCAGGTTTACAACTAATTTCAATGTTTTATAGTATCTTTACATGCAATGATAAATCCACCAAAATCATAATGAATGGATATTCATCTGGTAATTAACATTTCAAGTTTAAAAAAATCTGTAAACTGATTTTGGAGGAATGGCAATTTAAAGATATTTTAAACTAATATCATGTAAAATTGAGAATGGAAATGGGGAATGTGTCAAAGAGACAACAACCCGACCATAGAACAGACAACAGCAGAAGGTCACCAACAGGTCTTCAATGCAGCGAGAAATTCCTGCACCCGGAGGCGTCCTTCAGCTGGCCCCTAAACAAATATATATACTAGTTCAGTGATAATGAACGCCATACTAAACTCCAAATTGTACACAAGAAACTAAAATTAAAAATAATACAAGACTAACAAAGGCTAGAGGCTCCTGACTTGGGACAGGTGCAAAAATGCATTCTATATAAATATTTATCTGTTTTAAGATATTTAAATATGCAAAACAGTTATAATTAAAATAAATTATTTCTTAAATTTCAAATTGATTTAAACAGGTCCAAGTTGTATGCAAAATTAAAAAAAAAAAAACAGCTTCCATTTATATAAACTATTATTATTGGAAATTAGAATTTATCAGTGTATCCTCTTTCTCTTCAGGGAAAAATGACGGGTCTGTGAATGGAATTCGCTACTTTAAGTGCAGGTCAAGACATGGTATCTTTGTACGACATGATAAACTTATTCTTGACAAGAAAAGGAGAGGATCTCGTAAACGTGCAAGCACGGACTCAAAACGTGCTGGAAATATGCTTAACAGATCTCCTGCTAACCAAACCAAAACCGGCAATTCTGGAAACTTGTTAAAAGGAACTGCATCTAGTAGTGCTAAGAAGAAATTATGAGAAAAATAGGCTTTTATTTTCAGTCTTTGACAAATTGTGGTATTTTGCACAGATGAGTATTGTACTTTATGAAATTTAACTCATGGTAGGACAATATTGTATCAATGAATGCTAACATTCATGAAATGCTGTAAACCAACTTATTTTTTGTGGATATTTTTTTCAGCCGAGGCCATTTTAGCCAGTTTTGCAATTGTCTATAACCGGAATAATTCAGTCATTATAATCCTCTTGTCAATATGTTGACTACATGAACACCTGAGGGCCTAGTTGATGAAAAATCATCTACACACTAAAGTCACCAAAGTTAATTAGTGTACAGTAACAAAAGAAATGCATCTAAATAATTATTATATTTATTGTTAAAAGGGACCATGGATAGATTGTCTTTGCCATATCTGAGAAGAAACATATATTAATTTTTCCCTGTTTTTCAAACGATCCCTATTTTTAAATACAAAACCCTAAAACAAGTTCAACCTGAGAAAAAAATTGGATTTCTGTTACTTAATCTAATATTTTTCTCTATGGTGAATATTTCCTATAAAATGAAAATGGTAGAAAGATTACCACTGTGCATTCCAATATTTGTCATGTGACTGAATTTTATATCTATTTATAGTAACTAGTACCAGTTGATATCTATTTTTAGATAAAAATTCTGTGATTTATTTTTAGCAGTCTGATAGAAATCGATGCCATAAATGTTGTCTATTTTCCCCCATATAGATTGTTAATCCAGTAGACCTATAGTGTATAGGTGTAATTAGGGCATTTATAGACCTTAGCTTGATGGGTATAATTAGGGCATCAATAGAACTTAGCTTGTATGTAAAAACAACTTCTACGAGATCTTCAGCAGGTACCCAAAAATTAGTGTATATGAAATTTATCAAAAACAAGATGTACTTTTTAATATTCAAATACAAAAAAAAAAAAATCAACTCAAAAAGAAAATATGTTAACAAATATTTGGGAAAAAACATGCTCGTTATATTTTTAGAGATGGATGATAATAGGAGTATACTCTAATTTTAAACCCTTTTGAAAGAAAAACTGAAGTGCATTGGGAAAAATTGAGGCTTGCCTTATTTTATGTGGTGATTCAAAATGAAAATCAAGTGTAGATTTACTTAGATCAAACAGTATTTCATCATGAATTTAAAGAAGTAGAATTGGACAGTGTGTTAACTCGAACAGTATAGCATACAAGTTGTAGAATAGAAATTTTAGGTGTATTTTTGAAAACAAGAGATTTTAAATCAATAATATTCAGCAAAAGTACAGTATTATAGAATTTGATAAAAAAAAAAATATCATCGCTCAAATTTTGAAATGCCAAAATTAGAATTAGGTAATATTATAGAAGTATTTTTCCAAAGTCCATTTAGATAGCAATTTTGTTTAACAAATATTAACAAATAAAAATATTTCTTCCTAAAGGTTTGTTTCTCTATACAATTTACTTTTATAACCTGAAAATTCATCATGAATTTAAAAATTATAAAGGTTCCAATTGAATTAGATAATTCCCTTGAATTCTACTTTTTCAGAACAGCTGGTTATTTTTTTAATCAACTTGTGAAGTGCTTGCTTTCAGTTATTTATTGATCAAAATCAATTATGATGTCAAATGTCCATGCCATGCTCTGATTTGGCCCATATATCATCAACGAAGGAGACCATGTCTTGTCTAAGGACATTTTATACATGGTAAGAACACAATTAAGTTGTGCAGATGACCAGGCTAAAACATCAGACTGCTGCATAGTGTCGAAAATTCAACTGAGAAATTATTTCATCTCTGTACTTGTTTAAAATTTCCAGCTGTGAACATTTTAATTTCAAATATCTAAAATACTTAGCTTATGTTATATCCTAAGGGCTGTTCCAAAATTAATAGCATGGGGGGATGGAAGATTGTTTTACTCATTATTCTTGCAAAATTCTAAGAAAAATGCAACCACCCATATTTAATTAATTTGAGTGTCTCCCATCCCCCACCCATAAATTTTGGCACAGTCCATATGGATGCAGCAGTAAAGCTGTTAGATAAAATAATATTTACCAGACAGCATTCATGTCAAATATTGAATAATTTGAAACATATGTCAAAGGACATGCTAAAGTAAAAACATATGTCAAAGGACATGTAAAAGCAAAAACCTATGTCAAAGGACATGTTAAGGCAAAAACATTTGTCAAAGGACATGTCAAAGCAAAAACATATGTCAAAGGACATGTTAAAGCAAAAACATATGTCAAAGGACATGTCAAAGCAAAAACATATGTCAAAGGGCATGTTAAAGCAAAAACATATGTCAAAGGACATGTCAAAGCAAAAACATATGTCAAAGACATGTTAAAGCAAACATATTACACCATATCTTATGGCACTTATGAAATATAAGAAAATCCAGTTTCACACAACAGTCAATTTATTTTAGACAAAATTTGGCAAAGATAAAAGTCTTGATGATAATGTTCAAATAGTATTTCTTGTAAATGTAAAGTTGTCTTCCAGTGAGAAAGAGAGAGGTCAAATATTAAACGCTGTTGGAAATTTTACGAATGAGAATTATTACATAAATTCTGTGAAAAGTGAACAGATGATAAATATGATTAAAACTTCTTGGTAAATATTTCATTTTTCGACACCAAGAAATTTATATGATTATTGATACTGAATTTAGAAAGTTGTTTGTTAGATATGCCCCAGAATAAGATACGCCCCAGAATTAAGTGCTGTAAGGTTACAGAAGTAGGCAATGATATAATTTAATATAGATTCAAAGAAGGCATTATCATTTATTCATATTTCTGCCAATTTATTTGAAAAAAGAGATGTAAATAAATATTGCTAAAAAAAAAAAATCTTTTGCAAACGTCAATTATTTGTAGAGCAATGTTATATATTGTTATTAAATAAAATTTGGTCATGATATTTGTTAAAGGAAGAATTCCCAAATTCTTAAATCCTTACAAATCTTTTCCTACAAGACCATTTAAAGGATGAATTCCCAAAAGCCTAAAATCTTTTGTGACAAGGCCATTTAAGTAAGAATTCCCTAATTCGTAAATCATTACAGATCTTTTATGACAAGACCATTTTAAAGAAGAAGTCCCAAATTTCCAAATCATTACAAATTTTTTGTGATAAGACTATTAAAAGAATAATTCCTAAATGCCTTAATCATTACAACAACAATTAACCAATAACATTCTAAAATATAAAAATGAGAGAAAGTTTAACTTTTTTTTAACCAGGTTTCCAATATGTACCATATTTATTAATAAAAATCTCTTAAGTATGTTTTTTGATAATTTTAACAAATATTTTACTTATAAGCTATATAATAATGGTGATAACATAATAACCTCGGCAAACAGCCTCTGTCAATACAGGTGTCAATATCTTGTTTTGTGCAATATTTATACTGGAACCTTTCATAATATTACTGAGATTTTTCTCGATTTTTATCAGACATATTTGTACATTCCTTTAATTTTTTGTTGTTATATTGTAAATAAATTGTATCTTTTATGTAAATGTGATACTTTATTGTTGTGTATATCAGAAACAGAAATATTTATTGTTTAAATCATATAAATTTTTGTCGGATGAAATCGGGCAATTTACACTTAATTACAGTTGTACTGTGAGTGCAGTGAAGTTTCTCAAGATCTCTTTTGCAGAACTGGATTCTATAATATATATAAAAATTTATCAATGATCTCATATTCTACAGGCAACAAGAAGTATATTGTATTTTAACTTTAACTCATTATTGTATTATCACAAACCAATTTAAGAGGAGTGCATTTAATGAAAGAAGATTTTTGTGAAATGGAACAAAAATAAAACTTTGCTTCATTGATATATATTTATTTAAAGTTATTCTAAAATTAATCATATTTATTGGGGACAAATGAAGAATTTTTGACATATTCCCCGTTTCCATTCTCAATTTTATTTAGCTGATGGTGACAACTTGAGATTTTCACTGCACATATTTTTTGTTGTGGTAAAAAGCAAGCTCTGTGTTATATATTTGTTTTTTGCTTTGTATATTCACATCTTTACATTGTTAAAGCTGTTATATGTTGATCATGGAATGGGAGATAACTGAGATTGACAAGGGAGATAAAAAGTAAAATGCATCACTGTTTGTTAAGTTACAAACCATGTACCAGATATATCAATGTACATGTCTTTCATCAGGTTAAACATTTTGGTCTCCTGCTATACAAATTCAAAGCACAGAAAATGCAAAAACAGCCAAATAAAAAAAAGAAATAAAAAAATAAACAGCACTGATGATCAATAGAAAAGTCTATGTGTTGATAGGACACTAAGCCTACAGTTAGCACTATCACACGCCCATTTTCAATGAACTGTGTAATCTGGTTTAAAACCCTAATCTGGCATATCCATCAGAAAGTTATATTATAATGAACATGTACTAAATTTTAAGTTAATAAGAGCACAATTCCCAAACTTTTAATCTGATACAGGACAGATAATCAGATGGATGCATGTACAGGCAGGAAAATATGATTCTAATTCAGACAGGTTTAAAGAGAGATGAGTTTTACATTTTATTTAACGTGTTGATTGTCTTGTTTGTTGACATTTAAAGTGTTCATTAAATTTGTGATTCTTTTGCACTGCCAAAGCACAATTGTATTTCATTTAACACAAATCAAATATGTATTACTGTTATTGTCTTTGTTAGTGGTTGCTATGTGTTACTGTGTCATGTGATTTATAGGTCATGTGATGTGTTGCTATGTGTTAAAATCATGTGATGTATTAGTCATGTGACCATATTTCTTTTGTTTTGTGTGAAATGCTACAATACAGTACAAACATTTCATGTCCTTTATTTGTAGCTGTTGAAACAGTTTAAAAATTGATTTGAGATAAGAATGGAAATGAGGTTAAATTAGGTAGGACATTAGTAAATTATAGTGAAATTATTGACCAGTCTTTGATGTTTATGAGGCACAAGTTATCTGGATTGCCGTGTATCTAGAAAAGTTTTAGAATAATCCTCTTAAAAACAAAAATTGTACGTTTGAAATGATGGATTTTTGTCTTCATTCTACTTATTTAAGACAAAAGATAAATGATAGATATATTTACAATTTTCCAACACTGGACCAATAATCTGCCTGCATCTATTTATCAAAAAGACAGTTATAGAAAAAAATTAAAGCTGGCCAGATGTGGCCTAAGATTTGAAGATCTATCTCAAGGTTAGTAAAAATGAAATTCATTAATGTTAAAAAAAGTCTTTCAAAGTAAATTTTGACCAAAAAATATGCATTTTACAAGTCTATAATATTTACTAACTTTCTTGACAGGATGTATTCAACCCTATGTTGTTGTATTGATGTATGTCATCTATTTCACCACATTATGCCAGATCATAATATGTCAGATGATTATGTCGCTAAGTAAAGTGATATGTTAAATGACATATATGTTATCATCACTAATTGTCTGTTCACTAGAGGACACTCTTAAATTTGCTTTAAAAGCCATAATAAAAAATACTTATGGAATCAGATATATTTGTTTTTTCTTTTTACTTCAGTAAATCCTAAAAGCACTACAACACACTTACATGAAAGTAAAGTTACTGCAATCATGATTACCTCCCCTTCTATTCATCTTAATATGCAAACTTTGACCTTGACCTTGCAGACAGACATTATAATACTACTTTCTGCACACCCTCTAGTAGTTGAAACAATTAGATCAAGTATCATTAATATTTTGAAAGGCATTCAAAAGTTCAGTTTGACTGGACTATATATTTAAACAAAGGGGTATAAACTTAAGTTGAAAGTATTGTTTCATAACCTTACAGACAGGTATTCTTTAAACATTATTCACAACACACTAGAGAATTACAACTGGAAGCAACATTATGTGAAAACATGATGAGAACTGTGCAATAATAACACCAACACTAATTAACAGGTCTCCCAAAAGGATGGATTGATGCATTTACAGATTAAAGATGATGACATGTTGACGTGATATGAACCCTGCTTTGTGATAGTCTAACAGGTTAAGTTTGTTTTTGTTAACATACCAGTTCACAAGTCTGACTAAGCTGACTAATAGTCTTTGCTCTTAATTATTATAAAAGCTATATCCTAAGCCCAGAAGCTGCAAATATTAATTTTCAAGTCTTGTTTGACTGCTTGCTGGGATTGATCCTATAATCAAGGTATCCACCCCTTGATGAGGTCACTTGCACAAAAGCATTTTGCTCCAAACTGATAACTCTTGGTCCACTCTGTCACCTGTTTGGCCATTTATGATTGAAGTCAGGTTGTATGTCACATAATGATACTATGGAAATAAAAATTATCACTTTGTAATCTTTGTGCATCAAAGCGTTTTTCTCGATTTACCTTCATCAAAAACGCTCAAACATAAATGTTTGAAAGCCAGGGGATGTAAAAATATGTAGACAGGATAGGGCTATATGACAAAAAGGATATTACAATGTATGGAAATGGATGAGAGCACCTAGAAGATGGTAGAAATTTTGAACACCTGATTATTGCTTATACTTGGTGTCCACTGATAATATTTGTCAATCCCGTGATATCTAATTTTTGCTTTCTATAGTGATGGGTTAGTCCCTCCGTTTATCCATCCATTTTGTATCCACAACTGTGGCATATAGTAAGGGTTAAAGACAACTAATGAATAAAGTTTATTTTTTAATCTGAACACATAGCTGATAAATGGGGAACCACTTTTGATAATTAGTCAATGATATTTAGTATGCAGTTGTCATTGGTAAATCTCGTATCTCACAAATATTATTTGGTCCTGTTCCTTCAGTCATGTTTCTTTGACTTCGAGTATATGTTAAAGAATTGCTATATCAATTTCAATATTTGCATTTTACTATCAAAATAATAAACAGGCGAGACATATCTCTGTGTCAACAGTTTATTGTAAACATATGTTTAACAAGTAAAAAAAAATATAAAACTACCGATACTCTCATGGAATTGTGGTCACCATATTATAAATATAAAAATAAGGAGATGAAGTATGATTGCCAATGAGACAACTATCCAACAAAGTTCAAATACAGTGGATGTAACCAATTATAGGCAACCGTACGGCTTTCAACAATAAGAAAACCCCATACGGTATAGTCGGCTATAAAAGGCCATGAAATGCATGAAAAATATGAAAATATTCAATTAATAAAGCCCATTCCGCATCTAGGTGTATTTTCACACTCTCTGCAAGTTAAAGAACCTGTGCAACAACTCGGAAGGATTATTGGGAAATTGCCTGTCTCTATCCAGTATTCTATCATTTTCCAGTGGCAGTCCCTGCTGTTCATCTTATAGTCGACCTACGATGCAGACTTTTAACTACGTATTGTATTAATTATATTCCACACGAAGAAGATATTTACTTATACCTGTCAGTCCGTCCATCTGTCTGTCCTTCAGTCATTTTCTATTCACTTCAACTGTGTGGTAAAATGCATTTTCACAGAACACATGATATTGGAAAACGTTTCCAAGCCTAAAAAATACCTTTGGCATTTGAAAGGAGTACAGAAAGCCTTAATATAGGCTCTGTGGCATAGTAAGGGTTAAGGACAACTAAGTTTAATCACAATCATTATAAGTGTCAAAAAAAAATCCAAATTTATAGTATACATTTGGAGTAGCAATGCTTTAGCACAATTCTTAATAGAAGAAAGTAAATCCAAAATTATATGCCCCAAAGTATTTAAACATCAATATACATGATATTCCGATATACATTGATTGTTAACTTTATGACACAATTTGAGTTGGAGTTATTTTCCTTGGAAACCAGTCTGGATGGGAAACTGAATGGTTTCTTATTTGACTAACCTAACAAACAAATGTGTTACAAGCAAAAAACACTAGATTATTATTATATTGAAGTGATAATTAATACAAACCTTAAACAAATTAAAGTCATATGATACTTTAAAAAACAAGTTTAATACATGTATCTATGTTTGATATACTAGTACTTGATGGTTAAGTTTTACAATAAAACAAGTGTCCATGGACGTTCTTGTAAACGAAAATCATATATCTTATTTGAATTCTTCAAACATGTACTGAAATTGAATTATTGTCTTCCCGTACAATAATTCACCGCACATTTTTTTCAGTATGCAGTGACCTTAACTACGAGACCTCTGGTTATAACTTCGGCTAGCGCACAGCGTAAGAACGAGGGAAAGACCGTGATGAAATAAACGTGCACTGGAAGGTAAATAGTTATAATTGATGCCGAAGGAACCAATTAAATACACCAAATATTTTAACAACTGTTTTGAAAAAGTTTAATAAGCAAATGGGAACGCATGAAAAATGTATAAAAAATAACGAACATCACTCTATCAACTTATTTTTTACGTGCTCTACGATTCTGTATTGGCAGTTTATCAATGCCACAATCCAGTAAATTTCAACCAAAAACTCTAAAGGTAATTATGTAGCTTGCAATCAACATTCACTGAATGAAATATTATTTGGCGATATTACGTTATAGGTTCCTAATAAATGTTTAAAAAAAAACGTGCAAAGAGGACCAAGTTTATGATATATGCACGCAGTTGGTCAGTACTTTCCTTAACATTATAATTTCAAGAAACTCATTTCATAACACAATCGTTAATATTCTTTGATACTTTGTCTTGAATTGAACATAGGTCACATACAACATTACAAATACGTGACATTTTACAACACTTCTTGTTTTACGAAGTTTCTGTATTAAAATGCGTCGTTCAATTTTGTATGCTCACCTTGAATGACCTTGAACATAAACTTATTTTAATCCATGCTCATATGTGGTATTTGTATTGAGATACATTGAGATAACAGTTATAAATGTAAGTCGTTAGTTTTAAGAAAAATGTTGTATAATTTAACCTGAACATGAAGTTTCAAATTTACTATGTATTTTGATTGATTCATTGTTGGTGTTTAAAATCACTTTCAGCACTCGCAGCTATATCATGGCTTCCAGTTTGTATTGGTGGAGGAAACCAGAGTGCCTGGAGAAAACCACCGACCATTGAATTTGGCAGGAAAACAGTCAATGATATATAAAGTCAATTAAGATTGGAGTCGAATGCACCTACCATGTGCGGGGTTCGAACTCACACCATCCAAGTGTAGACAGGCTAGTGATACTGTAGATGAAATACTTAGACCACTCTGCCACCGAGGTTGTCTATCCTTTTTTAGAAATTGCAAAATTGATTCAATATAGTTACGCGTATACTCATGTGCAGTCAAGGTTGAGACCCTATGTAACAATTTAGCTGACAAATCCTTTCACAGTGTATGTGTCGAGCATGGTTGATGACAAGCTTCACTTTAATGACAAAAACGTTGAAACCTCCTAGTTCAGGAAATAATTAAAGGTGTATTTATTTGGCCTTTTTAACTTTTTTTGGTTCGAGCGTCACTGATGAGTCTTTTGTAGACGAAACGCGCGTCTGGCGCAAATACTAAATTTAAATCCTGGTATCTATGATGAGTTTATTTACAACCACATGGTCGATGCCACTGCTGGTGGAGTTTTTATTCCCCGAGGGTATCACCAGCCCAGGAGTCAGCACTTCTGTGTTGACATGAATTATCATTGATATGGTCATAATTATAAATTAACTGTTTACAAAACTTTTAATTTTTGAAATACTAAGGCTTTTAATTCTAGCTCAGGAATAGATAACCTTAGCTGTATTTAGCGAAACTTTTAGGAATTTTTGGTCCTCAATGCTCTTCAGCTTCGTACTTTATTTGGCCTTTTTAGCTTTTTTTTTGGTTCGAGCGTCACTGATGAGTCTTTTGTAGACGAAACGCCCGTCTGGCGCAAATACTAAATTTAAATCCTGGTATCTATGATGAGTTTATTTACAACCACATGGTCAATGCCACTGCTGGTGGAGTTTTTATTCCCCGAGGGTATCACCAGCCCAGTAGTCAGCACTTCTGTGTTGACATGAATTATTATTGATATGGTCATATTTATAAATTAACTGTTTACAAAACTTTGAATTTTTGAAATACTAAGGCTTTTCTACCTCAGGAATAGATTACCTTAGCTGTATTTGGCGAAACTTTTAGGAATTTTTGGTCCTCAATGCTCTTCAACTTCGTACTTTATTTGGCCTTTTTAACTTTTTTAGGTTCGAGCGTCACTGATGAGTCTTTTGTAGACGAAACGCGCGTCTGGCGCAAATACCAAATTTCAATCCTGGTATCTATGATGAGTTTATTTGCATAACGTGTCAATGAGAAACGGTTTACGAATATAATAAAAATTAGTAAAAAATAAAATATATATGATATTTTGACAAAAACCATATGAAATCATAAACGTGGGCATTATTAAGCATATAGTATAACAAACACCGCCATGCTGATTTCACCCCTCTTTTTTTCCCAATAAAAAAAGTTTTAAAATAATTTGTGACCATCTGTTTGCGATAAAACATGTAAATTTTTTAACTAGGTGATTTTATAGTTTTAATAGTGCAACTTGTTTTTAAAGGCAGTGCTTTAATGCCTTTCTGGTTGCCGTGTTAATCTTTCTTTCCGCGATATCCAACTTATCTACGCGGGGGGTCATTAGGCTCCAAGTAGATCCGGAAAATGTTGATTCTCTACTCTTCTTATTGTGATATAAAATGTTTTTTGTTTCATTTCATTTACATTGGGAAATAGAGAAACGATCATTGTGTTTTGTTAGTTTTAAAAACTTTTGATATATTTGTATTTTGCATTATACGCAGTCAACCGATTGACAAACTAGAATTATTTGAAATCCGTGTGGAAAGAGGTCGGGTTAATTTCGAGTGTTATCTGCAATCTAGATGTTTATAAATCATTTCAGTCGTTGATATAATAATTAAAGGTCGACTGAACATGAATGATATTATACAATTTAAAGCGCATTTCTGTTTATGCACGCGAACCCGTCTAACGTTATTGTTATTTCGCAGTTATATAAAGTAGCAAATTATCGTTCCTGAATAGGTGGCGCCGTGGTAGCCGATCCTGTTCTTCAACTTCCGGGTTCTGCACTGTGCAACTATTACAGTTGCATTTTTAATTAACGATGCCAAGTACTTGTTGTTGTGTACCTGGATGTCATTTAAGAGGAGGACATGCATTTCCAAATGACTTAAAAAGAAGGAAAAGTTGGATCAACGCCATGGCCCATACGCAGATTGGACGAGAACACGATGAAATCGTGGAGTCCATCTCAATCAGCTGTTGTTTGCAAGGCACATTTTACTGAAAAAGACTACGTGCAGGAAACTATTCATGGTAAAACTCTATTTTCTTTTTAAAATATATAGTTATATATGTAATCACCATGCGAATAAACCAAAGTCTGTTTACAACCGCAATTATCGTTTTAGAATAAAAAGGGGATGGTTAATTCAAGACCAGTGTTCCAGCATGGTCATTTTCACAGGGCGGTCCGCCCGCCCTTTACCGAGTGCCGCCCTGTGCCCTTTTTCTGACGCCCTGTGCCCTTTTTAAGACGCCCTGCCCTTTTTCGTAAGTCCATGCCTTTATAGCCGTAATATTTTGATGAAAATACAAATATTCTACCTGTCTTCATATTTATGACAAGTTTATGACCCTCAGCTAATTAACATTTGCAGCAGGTGTAATAAGTTGTGATTACAGATAATCCGCTTATCGGATGGGTCATTAATCCGTTAATTTAACTTCATAATTGACCATTGTAATAATTTTTCTCGTTAAATTCGGTCAGTCAGCATTTCAATTTCAATATTTCTCAAAAGATGACAATTTGCGTTTGATGTATCCGTAGATCGTCTGTTGTTTTATATGTCAAAAGATTTTGTTTTTAAATTGATCTTTTAAACTAGTTTTAATCCAGAAGAAAGTAAAAACAATGCTTGACTGTACCTTTCATTGAATATCTATATCCAAATCAAATTAATTAAAGCTGTAATCCATGATCAAAAATTGACTGCTTTGTTTACATTTGTTGAAAGCCATGTGCTTTTTTGGCGGGAAAATTCGGAAAACCCCTTTAACAAGAAACAGTTACATTTCATTAAAAATGAATACTTTCTTGGGGTGAAACTGATAATACTTTAATACTCTACATCTAGGGGTGTGTAAAATGGAAAAAGGGGGGGGGGGAGAGGATTTTTTATATATTTTTTATATATAATATTACAAATATAAGTTTAACAGTCTAAAAAGACATAGTTAAATGGATTTTAATTCTGAAAAACTCAATGTGGTTTATTATAATTCATTTATTATTTCTATCATAATCAGAAACACTGGGCTACATGTACATGTACATGTATTAGGCATTTCAAACATATATTATTGCCTTTATAAGAACATTCAAGACTATTAGAATAAGTATGTACCTGTAGTAAAAATACCCTGGTAGGGCCTTAAAATTTCTACTGGGCCCTTGGAAAAAAGTATTGGGATCCAGGTTGGCCCCTGGAGAAAATGTAAGGTATTGTTCCTGACTGTATTGCAGATCTAGTGTACTATTTTAACTGGCATGCACAATTCATTTCACTAATGAAATAAAAATAATTCTACAAAATGCCACTGTGCTCTGCATTGCAACTTAACCTTAGACCTACCATGCATCAAAAATGTTCTAGGGAAGACTGAGCTAGTAATATACGTCCTTGCATGGTCCCTTTAATACTGTTATCCAAAATAAGGTTGATTTTCATCTAGCGTAAAAGTGACTAAACCCCCTCAAAACTCCTAGCTGAAACCCTGCAGTTAACATAAGACAATGTTTGACATGCCCTTTTTGAAATATCAATCATCGTGCTAAAGTGCCCTTTTCATGATTGGCTCCCTGCTCTTTTGAAATCCTAGCTGGAACACTGAAGGCGTCATAATTTTTTAGATTACGATTCAATGTGATCTGCTTGAGATTTTTTGGTGCTTGCTACAATTATAATGATTTCTTACAAGAGGTATATCATACTGAGAATTATTTTAGCAGTAATTATGCTAATGTAGTAATGACAGGAATGCATAAGCTATTCCTCATAGAATTTCTTGAAAAATATCAATGACAATGTTAACAAGAACAAAACAATGACATGCTCTCATCTATATTATAGTTATTTAGGTACAAACAATGTATGATTGTTGCATACGTCTCTCATTGTTTGTCCTTTGGATTTACATAACCATGATAACATACATTTTGATGTACATTGAATTTTATTATTCATAAATGACAGTTGGATTTTATGTGTAAATAGAAGAGTTTTACTGTGTATATTATCCTTGGACATTAACTCTTAAAGTATATACATTATATTTTACTGTGTAAATACTACTTTTACTTGGATTTTATCCTTGGTGTTCCTTATAAAGGAAGCTAATACAGAGAGAAGAAGAAAGAAAAATAAGGCTAACATAGTATTATCCAGATTGTAATGAATAAATCAAGTTAATATTTTGCCAGGTAGTACAAAGTATGCATTGCTAATGAAAGTTCATTTAATTATCAAAAAACTAATGTTTTATAACCTTTTTCAGGGCGCAAACCAACCATACAGAGACTTAAGTCTACTACTATTCCCAGCCTATTTTCCTGGACCAAGCAAGAAACTGAATCATCTGCAAAAAGAAAAATCAGGGCAGTTTCCTGTGAAAACAAAAGAACTAAACTTGATGAATATTGTAGTAGAAATCTAGAGGAAAGTTTTGATTGTAAAGTTGGTTTTCCTGAAGAAGTCATTCATACTGCAGACAGGATTTAAGACTGTCCACCACCAACTGCCGAGCTAATGTTGAGCTTCACAGATGGAATAACGCAAACACCATCAATGCCTATATTTTCAGCAGAGAATTTTGAAATGAAGACACGTGACACAGCCATGCATTTTTATACCGGTTTAGAGTTGTATACTAAATTTTATATTGTTTTGACCACACTTGGTCGAGCAGCACATTGTTTGAGATACATATATTTTCAAATTGATACATGTAGGGTGTCATTTGAAAATCAGTTTTTTTTATGACTTTGATGAAATTTAGGCATTATACAACCAACTTTGAACTGTCTAGATTCTAGATTGAAACTAGTGTTAAGAATATTGTGTAAACATGGATTGTTTTTATGTCTAAACAGTGGCGTGAGGCTAACACTTGGCCATTTAGTGGTTTAGTCAGGTATTTTTCGCCATCTAACTTCAAATTAAAGTTTCCTACAACTTGGATTATTATTGACAGCACAGAATATCCCGTGATAAAACCTAAAGCTCCTAGAGCTCAGGCAACCTTTTCATCATATAAAAACAGAAACACTGAAAATACTTGTATGTTCGACACCTGGTGGTTTAGTCAACTATGTCTCTAATGCATATGTTGGTTGTACCAGTGACTGTGAAATAGTTGAAAGATGTAGAATAGTTCAATTATGTGATCCAGGTGACAGTGTGATGGCAGACAAAGGTTTAAATGTGCAAGATTTGTTTGCTCACTTTTTTCAAAAAAAGAAACAGAATTAGTTCCAAAACTCTTATACGGGATAGAAAAGTCTCCAATTAACATGATTAACACGTGCACATAGAGCTAATTATTGGACTTGGCAAAACATACAAAATTCTAATAAATCCTATGAATGGAACTGAAACAAAACTTTCATCTGAAATAACATTTAGTTGTTTTATGTTGTGTAATTTTAGAACTTGTATTATGCCAAAGGATGCATAAATAAAAGTGACGCAATGAAGTTTGTTCTGATATATATATATAAATATTATTTACAATTACATGCACATGTAAATTGTAATGCATATAAAAATAAGGAGATGTGGTATGATATTCAGTGAGTTTATCGAACCAAAGTGCATAAGAAATGGGTTAAGCAGTTACAGCTGTCACCGTACAATCTCCAACAATTAGAAAAACTTGTACCGTGTAAAAAATTTCAGAGATCTTACAACTAAGTTTTGTTGTCTCACCTTGACTTTGGTGAATTGTTTATATCTGTTGATGTAAATATAAAAAAGAAGATGTGGTATGATTGCCAATGAGACAACTCTCCACAAGAGACCAAATGACACAGAAATTAACAGCTATAGGTCACAGTACGGCCTTCAACAATGAGCAAAGCACATACCGCACAGTGAGCTATAAAAGGCCACGAAATGACAATGTAAAACAATTCAAACAAGAAAACTAACGGCCTAATTTATGTACAAAAAATGAACGAATAACAAATATGCAACACATAAACAAACGACAACCACTGAATTACAGGCTCCTGACTTGGGACAGGCACATACATGTACATATTAATACAGAATGTGGCGGGGTTAAACATGTTAGCGGGATCCCAACCCACCCCCTAACCTGGGACAGTGGTGTAACAGTACAATATAAGAACGAACTATAAAAATCAGTTGAAAGAGGCTTAACTCATCAGATGGATAAATACAAATACAAGTGGACGTGGCCGGGTAGTTGTACATCCAAACAACAAGAAGCTTAAGACACTAAGTACAGATCTGAGAGTACTCGCATTTATTGACAACTAGTTCAAAGCCACTAACAACTGATAAAAAAATCTTGCATCTAAGACTAAATTATCAATCCGTAAGCTCCCTTTAGAATTTTATAAATTTTAGATTTAACATTTCTGAGTTATGGGGTTTTATTCATTAAAAAAGGGGGGATTTTCCAGTTTTTGGACAACAACTCAAAAATGTTTTAAGCAGTTCGCATGAAACTTTGGTGAATTATTTATAGCTATTGATGTAATCTCCCTATTGATTTTCATAAATTTCAAATATGACATTGAGAAGAAATTGAACTTTATTTGTTTATAGTCTGGCAACAGATTTATTAAGTATTGCGCAACAGCACAGTGTATTGCACAACAGCAAGAAATCTTTAATTGAATATAAATTCAATTCATATAACCGATTTCAAGTTCTTTGACTACATTTATTCAGAAACTATAATATGTCAAATATTTAATTACAATCCAAATTCAGACCTGTATCAAGCTTGAATATTGTGTCCATTTTTGCCCCAACTGTTCAGGGTTGGACCTCTGCGGGTGTATCCAGCTGCGCTCAGCGAATCAGTTTATTTCTTAATTAAGAAGTCCTTTTTGTCGAGCCTGCGACTTTTGTCGCAGAAAGCTCGACATAGGGATAGTGATCCGGTGGCGGCGTTAGCTAACTTCTTAAAACCTTTATATTTTAGAAGGTGGAAGGTCTGGATGCTTCATACTGTGTATATGGATGCCTCATGTTACGAAGTTTCCGTCAGTCACATGTCCAATGTCCTTGACCTCATTTTCATGGTTCAGTGACTACTTGAAAAAAAAGTATTTTATGTAATGTTAAATTCTCTCTTATTATAAGTAATAGGATAACTATATTTGGTATGTGCGTACCTTGCAAAGTCCTCATGCCCATCAGACAGTTTTCACTTGACCTCGACCTCATTTTATGGATCAGTGAACAAGGTTAAGTTTTGGTGGTCAAGTCTATATCTCAGATACTATAAGCAATAGGTCTAGTATATTCGGTGTATGGAAGGACTGTAAGGTGAACATGTCCAACTGGCAGGTGTCATCTGACCTTGACCTCATTTTCATGGTTCATTGGTTATAGTTAAGTTTTTGTGTTTTGGTCTGTTTTTCTGTTACTGTATGCAATAGGTCTACTATATTTGGTGTATGGAATGATTGTAAGGTGTACATGTCTAGCTGGCAGGTGTCATCTGACCTTGACCTCATTTTCATGGTTCAGTGGTCAAAGTTAAGTTTTTGAGTTTTGGTCTTTTTTCTAATACTATATGCAATAGTTCAACTATATTTGGTGTATGGAAATATTTTATGATCTATTTGTCAGTCACGCAGGTTTTTTTTTACCATGACCTCATTTTCAAGGTTCATTGATCAGTTTTAAGTTTTTGTGTTTTGGTCTGTTTTTCTTAAACTATAAGCAATAGGTCAACTATATTTGTTGTATGGAAAAATTGTTAGCTGTACATGCCTGCCTAGCATGGTTCATCTGACCTTGACCTCATTTTCTTGGTTCATTGGTCAATGTTTAGTTTACTTGGTTAATGTTAAGTTTATGTGACAGTTGTAATAAAGCTTTATATTTAGGACTATCAACATAATATCAATGATTAGTAAAGAAGGCGAGACATTTCAGCGTGTGCACTCTTGTTTCATTCATAAATTACTTTATACTTGGAAATATAATTTTGCTTGGAGTTATAGTTTCTTAAAAAAGTATTGTCACTGAAAGAGTTGACATGTTGCAATGTACATTTATTCTACATAGTTCTATGGTACCAAATCAAAAGTTTATATAAAAGAAAGAAGTCAAAGGTTTCCCATCATAGTTTAGTTACATACATTTTTTTTGTACCTGAGGTCGTTGAATATAGATCATTATATAAATAAGGAGATGTGTTATGATTGCCAATGAAACAACTATCATCCATACATTGTACTTACAAGTAACAAACCACATTTGCAAAAGTTGAATAAAATACAGTTGATAACATTTACTTATTACTAAAAAGAAAATGCCAAACTATTTTAAACAGAATTTGACTATAAACATAGATAAAAAAAAGGTACAAACTGGACATAATGCACTAGTTCATAAACAAATGAGAACAATCGCCTTCATATAGTGCTCAGAATATGACATTCATAAACTTGTTCAATATCATTAGAGAACTCTAAATCTTAAATACTGAAAGCCACCTCTGATGTACTATGCAAGATAATGATATAACTGGACTAAAAATACACACAACCTGTAATTAACTGCCTTTACAGCGCTTTCGCGCTTTGATTGTTTGTTTGATATGCGTGCATTTATTAACAAATAGTGTCTTTCAAAACTAACCGACTGATAGATTAGTATTTTTTCTCTCTGTTAGGTCCACTAGAAAATGTTTCTGAACAAACTTTATTTTTTACGCTTTTATTGTTTAATATGTTATATATATTCTATCATATTTAATTTATTCATCGAAGTTTTAAAGTTAAGTACATATGAACTAGTTATTTTTATATGTTTGTAATAGGACAACCCTTTTTTACGTGCATGAATTTATTAACAATTTATGTCTTTCAAAACTAATAGACTTTTTTTCTGTTTTAGGTCCACTATGAAATTCCTCTTGCTTATTACAGTCATACTTGTAGTAGGCTTTGGGCCAAATGAAGTTGACAGTAGACATAGCTTTACGTCTGCTGATGGAGGTACAGGAGGATCTGCACTAACAGATTATAAGTGTTCCTGCTGTTCAGATAGAGTACATCGTTTGAGATGCTGTGTTCCGACATGTAGAATTGAGCCTCATTATAAGAAGGAAACTCGTTGAAGGAAAACATCTTCGTATTATATATCACAACTTTTTAATAACTGAATACAATTGAAGAACGATTAACATTTTTTTCTTCTTCTTTATATATTGTAAAGTGACTCTTGGGTGATAATAGTATAATCCATAATCTTGATGTAATTCTACTTCAAAATCTGTGAAAAATCTGCTGTAATTTCAAAACGCGGAACAAATCCGAAAATAAAATTACGTCTGTCAAAATGATTCAACTTTCTCAATAATACTGTACAATAATTAAATGAAAATATGCAGTACTTTATGAGAAAACACAAAAGGCGCAACACAAGTATATGGGATTCATTAAAAAAAAAACCCAAGTCGTGTACCTATAATAGTCACATTCCAATATATAATGATATATTTGAAACTGAATCTTTGGTGTGTCAGATAGTACAGTAAAATAAAAGTCTTTTTCCCCTTGAAACCGTTAATTTTGTTTTTGAAAACATTGAATTTTGTTGATTTTTCATCAACATTGATAGTGAAAGACAAGGCGTGACCAGACGGACGCAGGACGTTTGCGCCTTTTTACCTGTAACACTAAAAGACATTTGCACTTCAAACACTATGGACATTTGCGCTTTAAACTTTGATACACCTGTTCAAAATTGACAAGACATTTGCGCTTTTTACCTATGATAGTTTACAAAAGTCATGGAAAATTCATGTTCACATTATTATATATGTCACATTCTTTGAAAGTTCTTCCGAACAAATGACAAAATCAGAATTTTCGGGTAAACCAGAAATATTATAAAACATATAAGTGTACGTTTCTGGGTAAACGATAGAGAAAACGAAACTTTTATGGATGAAACATTTAAATTTTGACCGAAATTCGTCAATAACTTTCTAATTAGACCTTTTCAACAACTCTCGACACCGACTAATGACACCTACAGTTTACAGGTAAAATGGAGGGGTCGTCTCAAAAATAGAAATCATTCATGAATAGTATTACGTTTACTGTTATACACTATCTTGATTAAAGAACATACTTCAAACAAATATGAATATCTCTCTCTTTCATATAATATTCTTATTACATGTATTTATACGACATTTCACCACGTTGAATTTATAAATTTCACATCGTGATCTGCTTTATTTCTTCCTAAAATGTATGATTATGAGTATTTAGATAAGCGAGTATGTCAACGAGGATTGTACCACATGCCAATAGGCCCAAGACCACAATTAATGATCCCGCTTATAGTTCCTTTTAATTAGAGTGTATTTTTTCTTAATTTTTTTTTCTTTCCTTTCCTCACTCATATCTTAGGGTTTTTTTTGGTGGAAATAAAAGAAGAGAGTGAAATAAACTTTTGGATGTTGTATTTTAACTGATTTTGATATGGAAAGACTGATTAGGCCAGGTGCAAAAAGGTGATATTTACAGTTTTCGGAACATCTCTTGACTTGTCCATAGGGGTATGGATGTGTATTGGCTAAATTTGTAAGAGTCATTGGTTCAATCTTTCTGAATTTTGTATATATTTTTGGACTAGTACTATACATTACACACACAAAAGATTTGACAAAAATGCATGGTGCAATTTTTTAATGAAACAAAACGTTACAAAGAACTAATAGGGGAATTTAATTGTGGTCTGTGGCCAATAGCGACTAATTCATTTTTATAATGCTATTTATGAAATTTGCTGAAGGAACATAGTAACAGGACTGTCCGTCCGTCCGGTAGAATTTGTATTTCGTCACGTCACGTGGTATACACATTCAATTTTGGGACGGGTAAAAGCCTATTGATTTCAATGGTCAAAGGAAAAGGCCACATCGAAATATTTAGTTACAAGGAAGATACATGTACCATGTTAACATTGAGGTGTTCCCCTAATGAATTGGAAACATTAACGGTATCATTTTTTTCTGCGCCAGATGCGAGTTTTGACAATCAATGGTCTCTTCAGTGATGCTCGCGGCCTAAATATTTGAAAATATGTAACAATATTCCATCAGTACCTTATATTCAACAGAGCTTGTTGTCATTGCAGTGACACACTTCTGACTCAAACAGGGCTTTTTGACCAACAATTTAGGGAATCCTTTAATAAGTTCTATGATTGTCATCACGAACTGATTGACCGTTATATGTTGTTCTTGTCCCGAAAGACAACATACCTTGTCCCTTTGTCATAGATTCCTTTCCCCGTTCCCGAAAATGACCTTCGTGTGTCTTGCAAGAAGTAGTAACTGCTTACCCTTTCCCTTTTCTGGAATATGGTTTTCTACTCTTTTCTATTTTTTCCATGTGTAATTGTTTTTAAATTTCATCTCTGACTATACAAAGGGGAGGTAAGATGTAGGTCTTTAACCAAAATGCAGATCATCAGGTTCAGCATTTGGTTACTGGGTAGCAGGTCAAGCGACGGCACCGTAGGCCGAAAATTTAATGATAAAGAGTCGAAAATTGAATTGCATTGTCGCTGAATATCGAATTCAAGTTGAACATCAAATTGGCGATTTGAAAAGAAATAAAGTATTGAGTACATTGAGGCACCCGAAGCCAAAATTAAAAGACATTGTAGAAACATGTGCCGCCCTAGTCAACAGACATAAAACACTAATTGATTAAACATCTAATACAAAAATACCGTGAGGTTGGTTTTTTTTTCAATTTCCATCTCGACGTCCAAAAAATGAAATTTCGAAGCCCTTCTTTTCATCAAAAATAACTTTGATTTTAATTAGCAAATACTGAATAAACAAAACAAGGTACGGTACACAATAATTGCGTAAATACACTTGCACGTCATGTTGGATAGTTGTCTCATTGGCAATTACTATAATCATATGCGATCAATAATTTTTTTTTCAATTTAATTTTTGAGACGACCCCTCATATCTCACCTGTCGAAGTCGTTCTCAACTGTAGGTGTAGACAATTGTTGAAAAGGTCTATTAGTGGATTTAAAATTGAAAACTATAATCCTTTTGTGTCCATTCTGTTGCATGAATAGTCCGATAAACTGTACCATCATAGTTCAGTGATAACTCTTGGTCCACTCTGACACCTGTTTGACCACTTAGGTTGTATGCCACACAGTATGGAAATTTAAATTATCACTTTATAAGTTTTGTGTATCCAAAGCGCTTTTCTGGATTTAACTTCATCAAGAAGGCTCAAAACAAATATTTGAAAGCCAGGGATGTGAAAATAATAGAAGCTATATGACGAAAAGGGTCTTAAAAAGAATAGCTAAATCCATCTGAGGTCAACTCTGCCTCAGGAAGTTGAAACTTGTTTCTAAATAATTTCTTCATTTATCAACGGGGGATTTTACAAATGGATGGAAATAGATCATGGTAGCACCCAGAAGACAGCAGAAATTTTGCACACATGATTATTGCTTTAACTCAATGTCCACTGATACGATTTGACAATGCTATGTTTATTAAACCCTTGCTCTCCAAAGCTTGCAGTATATAGCGATGGGTGAGTCCCTCTGTTTGTCCATACATTTGTTAGCTTGCCATTCTGTACCTCTTTTGTATCCACAACTGCTCTTGAACCCCTTGATAGATTTGAATGGAACTTTTTTAGAATCTTTTCATTATAATGTCATTGTGCACCTTTTATTTTCTCGTAAATTTAGAATTGGTGTTGGGGTTTTCCTTCTCATTTCATGAGCAACACGACGGGTGCCACATGTGGAGCAGGATCTGCTTACCCTTCCGGAGCACCTGAACACTTTTTGGTGGGGTTCGTGTTGCTCATTCTTTGGTTTTCTATGTTGTATTTTGTGTACTGTTGTTTGTCTGTTTGTCTTTTTTTATTTTTTAGCCATTGCGTTGTCTATTTATATTCGACTTATGAGTTTGAATGTCCCTTTGGTATCCTTCGCCTCTCTTATGCATGGATTTTGCCATTGTTTTCTTTGGGGGAGGATCCATTTTGTATCCACAACTCCTCTGAAACCCCATATTACAATTTATTGAAAGATAATCACAATCTAAACTATATAATGCCAATGTGCAACTCCTATTTTTAACTCACCTTGCCCAAAGGCAAGTGTGCGCTTTTGCCATCACTTGGTGTCCGTCGTCTGTCGTCATTCATTAACTTTTACAAAAACCTTCTCTGAAACTACCTGAACAAATTCAACCAAACTTGGCCACAATCATCATTGGATTGGGTAATATGTTGGTTTTTTTTTTAAATGTGTCTGATGACCTCTCTTGCCAACCAACATTGCAGACATGGCTAAGAATAGAACATAGGGGTAAAATGCAAGTGTTGTCTATCATCTTGAAAACAAATAAAGATAGATATGGGTAAAATGTTCAGAATGATGGGATCTACCTACTTTCAAATTACATGAAAACTGTCAGACGACATCTTTTATTATCTTAAAAATTATAAAGGATAAACAAACGTTACAAGGCACAAATAATCAGCAAGACAAGATCTACTCATGAGTCATCATGACCGAAATTGTTAGTCGACATCTTATTGGAGATATTGCGCGTTAAGGACGATTTTTTTACCAATTATTTGCGTTTTATTGTTTTTATTGGACATTGTTTAATTTTTGTGGTTTGATCTATTTCTAAGATACTATAAGCAATAGGGCCACTATATTGGATGTATGCAATGATTGTAAGGTGTGCATGTCTGACTGGCAGGTTTCATCTGACCTTGACCTACTTTCATGGTTCATTGGACAATGTTTAGTCTTTGTGGTTTGATCTATTTTTCAGATGCTGTAAGCAATAGGGCCGCTATATTTTGTGTATGAAATCATTGTTATGTGTACATATCAGTACGGCAGTTTTCATATGACCCAGACCTCATTTGTATGGTTCATTGATTAATGTTAGGTTTTCATGGTTTTGTCAGTTTATCAGATACTATAAGCAATAGGTCAATTATATATGGTGTATGGAATTATTGTAATATGTACATGATTGTCTGGCATGGTTCATCTGACATTGATCTAATTTTCATGGATCATCAATGTTAAGTTTATGTGATACTTGCAGTAAAACTTTCATATTTAAGACTTCAAACATAAATTCAATCATAAGTAAAGCATGCGAGACATTTCAGTGTGTGTACTCTTGTTTCTTTAAAAAAACAGTGTATTTTCTAAAGAGGCTTTTATTCTAATACGATAATCGGTATTTCTGATGTTGGGTCATTAATTGTTAGGTGTTTTTAGCCCTTTGAACATGATTTTTTTACT